GTCGCGCATTCTCCTGCCTGGCGTACCACTTGTCGCGGAACCAATCCCACAGAGATGCCAGAAGCCATGTTGGTGGCAGCATGCGAATGGACCGGACAGCGCTGTTGATGGACTCTGTCGCATTGCTTGTGTAGATGCCAAAACGCAGCGTGACCGCAAATAGACGAGCCCAATGCAGCAGCATGATCCCCCCAATGCGATAGGATGATCCGCGCCTGTTGCGATAGAACCCGGTTCGCACGTGGATGCCGGGTTCACCATCACCGTCGTTTGGCACATCGCCATCCTCCTGGGCATCCTCTGGGACCGGATCCTCCTCAAAGGCAGGCTCGTCCACCCCTTGAGCCGGACCATTTGCTCGTTGCCCGCAATCCGGCCATGGCAGCGCGAGCGCCGATGCAGGGTGGAATTGTTCAGCATACTGACCTTCTGGCACTCCATGAGTGGGCGTGTTCCTCCCTGTGTCAATGTCCTCAGCCCGGTACCACTCACGTGCACGACGCAGAACCGAGTTGACATCGAAGGCCGGTGCACACGGGGTACCTACAGTGGTGAGTGCTGTGCCACCGAAACCCGTGCCGGTGGATGGTGCAGACTCTTGAGAACCGAACACTGTCGCACGCCGCACATCTTCCCCACTGGATGCTGGCCGGGAACCATGTCCAAAAGACGCCTGCCCGCCCAGGACACTGGCGCCTAGGCCACCAACCCTAAACCCCGACCCCACACCAAACCTGATATCGCCGAGTCGCCCTCTGTTAGAGCGACTGGGACCTGCAGTTCCGAGACTGGATCCAGACCCAACCACCTCACCACTCGCAGCATAGACACTGTCTCTTGCTCCAGGCCCGAACAGCGGCTCGCCTCCATACCCACCCCCAATACCGAACCACCCAGCTCCCACACCTCCCTGCCCTCCTGGTGCCCCACCAAGGGGCACCGCTCTCCCTCCGCCTCCAATGCCAGACCTCTCTGCTCCCACACCTCCCTGCCCTCCTGGTGCCCCACCAAGGGGCACCCCTCTCCCTCCGCCTCCAATACCAGAACACCCAGCTCCCACACCTCCCTGCCCTCTTGGTGCCCCACCAAGGGGCACCCCTCTCCCTCCGCCTCCAATACCAGAACACCCAGCTCCCACACCTCCCTGCCCTCCAGCATCCCCACCAAGGGGCACCGCTCTCCCTCCGCCTCCAATGCCAGACCTCTCTGCTCCCACACCTCCCTGCCCTCCTGGTGCCCCACCAAGGGGCACCGCTCTCCCTCCGCCTCCAATGCCAGACCACCCAGCTCCCACACCTCCCTGCCCACCTGGTGCCCCACCAAGGGGCACCGCTCTCCCTCCGCCTCCAATGCCAGACCACCCAGCTCCCACACCTCCCTGCCCACCTGGTGCCCCACCAAGGGGCACCGCTCTCCCTCCGCCTCCAATGCCAGACCACCCAGCTCCCACACCTCCCTGCCCACCTGGTGCCCCACCAAGGGGCACCGCTCTCCCTCCGCCTCCAATGCCAGACCACCCAGCTCCCACACCTCCCTGCCCACCTGGTGCCCCACCAAGGGGCACCGCTCTCCCTCCGCCTCCAAGGCCTGACCACCCAGCTCCCACACCTCCCTGCCCTCCTGGTGCCCCACCAAGGGGCACCCCTCTCCCTCCGCCTCCAATGCTAGACCACCCAGCTCCCACACCTCCTTGCCCACCTGGTGCCCCACCAAGGGGCACCCCTCTCCCTCCGCCTCCAAGGCCTGACCACCCAGCTCCCACACCTCCCTGCCCTCCTGGTGCCCCACCAAGGGGCACCCCTCTCCCTCCGCCTCCAATGCCAGACCACCCAGCTCCCACACCTCCTTGCCCACCTGGTGCCCCACCAAGGGGCACCCCTCTCCCTCCGCCTCCAATGCCAGACCTCTCTGCTCCCACTCCTCCCTGCCCTCCTGGTGCTCCACCCAGTGGCACTCCTCCCCCTCCGCCTCCAAGGCCGGACCATTCAGGTTCGGCACCCCCCTGCGCTGCAGAATCCCCACTGTGTGGCACTCCTCCCCCTCCGCCTCCAAGGCCGGACCATTCAGGTCCGGCACCCCCATGCTCTCCAGCATCCCCACCGAGGGGTACTCCGCTCCCTTCTCTGCCAAGGCCGCTACCCGCAACACCACCGCCACGCCCTCTGCGTCCACGTCCGAATGTCGCACTGCCCCGACCTCGACCTCCACTGCCTTCTCCTTCATCGTTCATCCCGGATGGGACGCCAGCTCCCCGATGAGCTCTGGCCCTCCGTCCGCCTTGGTTCATCCCACCCCTGCCTGAAAGACCTCCTCCACGCCTGTTGTACGCTGCGGGGTTGCTCTCCGGGAACCCGCTTCCATGGGGTTGCGACGCGCTCTCAACACCCTCGGTTCCAGCGTTGGCACCCTGACCCTGCCCTCTCTGCGCCCTCCGCCCTTCGCGCGCACCGGCGAACACGTACGCCCTGGCACCCTCATAGGTCGCACGTGTTCCAGGAGGGGGCACGTTAGGCGCTGGTTGCGGCGCTGGCTGCGGCTGCTGATGGAGAGGACCAAATTGATATGCAGCCATCTCCGGAAAGTCTCTTCGAGAGGCATTGACAAGCGCCACCCATTTCGTTTCGCAGCGACATTTCACCAGGCGCCAAAAAAACGCCGTTGCCGCCTTTCCAAACCGCTTCAGGTTTTGCTCCAAATGCCACGCGCAGAAATAATGTGGGATGTGGCGCGGCATCACCTCCCGTGCAGCGGGCACCAACCCTTTGTCGCGGTCGCTGATGATGGAGGCATCGTCCCTCTGCGCCCACTCCGGAAATCCCTCGAGGAACAGCTTCAGAAACCACGTCCAAGCATCCTTGTTCTCCGACTCCACCAAGGCCCATGCCAGTAACAGTATTTCCTGGTTGCCGTCGATGGTGACTGCAATGAGTAGCACTGCCTTTTGCGCACTAATGAGATGTGTGCCGTCGAGTGCGACGACAGGGCGGCAATAATTTAACGCATGACGTGCTGCGGATGGCCGCACGTAGAACCGGTGAAAGCAACCGCCGAGAGTGTCCAACCGCACTTGAACATCGGGATCGATTACGCAGAAACGCTTGAGAAGCCAAGGCACTTGTCGAAACGACTCCTTCCAGTCGCCGTAACGCTCGGCCATGATGTACTCCCGAAGCCGCCAAGCCTGCCAATAGTGGATCACGACATTCCCATGGCCCTCGAGCATTCTCTTGAGCTCCACCGGTGAGATGAACGGATTGGCACGGACCATGTTGCCGTAGCGCCGAGCCAGCACGGGAATTGTGTTGGCTATCCCCTCAGCGTAACCTTGCCTCCAATCCTGTTACAATCCTAAAAAAGGACTTAGCGAAGGATCGCTCAGGGTTGATCGCAGAGTAGTGTTGCAGCGGAAGTTTGAATCTCAGGTCAGAGTGAATGTAAATGACTGAGTTGATAATAGCATGCATACATCGAGTTTATATAAGAGTACAGGGGAATACGAAAGGACCTAGACTAGCCATGTACTCTAAGGGGTACATTCCCTTATTACAACCGAATTCAAACCGTGCGGCGCGGGAACCCGTTTCAAACCTGTTCCCGCTCATTTCACTTCAAATGTTTCTGCCAGCATCGGTCTTGGTCAGACGGTTGCTGCGTCGCTTCGACTCTTCTGACTCCTCGACTTCGTACTCGGTAGAGTCGGCTCCTGCAGCATACAGGAATGCCTTCTCACAAAGTTTCATATCGTAACACTCCCCTTCATTCCTGGACGCGGGTAGAGTTGACTCGCTTGACTACTCCGGTGAGGTCAGAGCAGTGTTTGTACTGCTGACGTGGTAGGCGTTTGGTGAGGAAGTCTGCTGCCATCTCAGTGGTCGGGCAGTAGGCGAGGTCCACTTTGCCTTGGTCGATTTCATCCTTGACGAAAAAGTACCGAAGCGCGATGTGCTTCGTGCGGTTCACGAAACCTGGCTTGTTCGCGATCCTGATGGCACTCTGGTTGTCGCAGTGAAGGCGAAAGGTGGGCGAAGTTGGAATTTTCGCCTCCTGTAGCAGCTCCTGCAGGTACAGGCCTTCACGAACTGCTGCTGTCGCGGCGATGTATTCTGCTTCAGCCGATGACAGGGCAACCAGCTCCTGCTTCTGCGAGTTCCAGGAGATTGGCCCAGTGGGTTCCAGGCGAAAGACGAAGCCGGTTCGGGACCGTCGATTTGCAGGGTCAGCTGCGTGATCTGCGTCCACGTAGCCGTTGAGATTGAAGGAGGTCGTCGTCAGCGTGGAGTAGGAGAGTCCAATGTCAGGAGTGGAGATGAAGTACTGCAGGGCGCGTTCCAGGTCCAGCTGGTTCTCAGCTACTGGCTTGCGGGAGTACTGTGCCAGTTGGCTGGCGATGTACGAAAGGTCGGGTCGGCAGGTGACAGAAGCGAATAGCAGGCACCCCAACTTCTGCTGGTACATTTGGAGTCCTGCGGGCGACAGAGGTTTGTTGTCCGGTTTGTAGTTGGCGCTTGGGTTGCGGTAGGGGGTTGAGAGTGGTGCGGGTGAGATGTTGAAGCGTTCCCCCAGCTGCTCTGCGTACTTTGAGGCTGACAGGTGAATTGCTTCTGGCGCGTAAGTGATGTTTAACCCCAAAAACTGCTTTACTTCGAGGTTGATGGTGATGTCCACGCGCTGCGCCAGGTTCTCCTGAAACTGATCAAGGAGTTTGTTGCAGGTGCCCGTGTACAGCAGGTCGTCGACGTAGACTGTCAGGAGGATGTAATCGCCGTTGAAGTGAAGGCGACCTGATTCACTGCCTCTTCTGGTTCCTACTCACCGCTCGTTCCACGCCTGTGGAGGGAACGTCGCTCCAAGGCAGCGCAGACTGCGGGCTCGCCGACAGCCGAAACACGGCTGCCGCGGCTGGTCAGGATCCTGACAGCCAATCCGGTCTCGAGAATCTAGGGAATCCCAACAGCCACTCCAACACCGAGAATTCCGGAACCTGCGCGGCGGGTCCCGCCATGTCCAATCCCGTCGCTGGCACGCAAAACGCAGGTTCAACGGCGATCGCGTCTGCGTTAAAGGATGTCTCGGTTGAGCGAATAGTGGGGCCTGGAAATGACGAGGTGGTGAAGATAGGTTCCTTCTGGGAGTCGCAGGTGAGAAATGGCTGCCCTGCTGGTTGAGTGTCTGTTTGTCTCGTTCGTTGCAACAAAAACTGGCTTCTTTTTCGTCCGTAACACTAGACTCTCCTCTCCTGCGTACTCCCTCCGTTCTTAAAGACAATTCAGTTGTCTGTTCAAGCCTCCTTTTCCCCCTTCCTCATTCCTTTCCATTCTCGTCTCTCCTCGCTCATCCTATTTCTTCCTGCCTTGCTCTCATCCCTCTATCCCCTTTCCAAAAATCCATGCCTTCCCCGAATTCCCCGCTTCCCCTCCCCTTCTTTTACAATCTCCTCCCCTTCCTCCCCCCTCCCCCATTCCTTCCCCTTTCCCCCTTTCCCCCCCCCCCCCCAGCCCGTGGTGATTCACTTTCTCCGCCGCTTTGGCTGCCGCATCTGCAGGGGGGGCGCCATGGAGATGTCTCGCGCCATTCCCCACCTGCACAACGCAGGCGTGCGAGTCGTCGCCATCGGTGGGTGGGATGGGTGGTGGGTGCCTCGGGTGGGTGGTCAGCGGGTGGGTGGGGAGGTGGGAGGGTGCTATTAGGGGGGAGCCAGGGACATGTCACGCGCCATCCCCCACCTGCACAGCGCTGGCGTGCGAGTCGTTGCCATCGGTGGGTGCCTCGTGGGTGGGTGGTTATCGGGTGGGAGGGTGCCATAAGTGGGGAGCCATGGACATGTCGCGAACCATCCCTCACCTCCACAGCGCCGGCGTGCGAGTCGTTGCCATCGGTGGGTGCCATGGGTGGGTACTGAGCAGGTGGCACGGCGGGAGGGTGTCACAAGGGGGCCGCCAGGGACATGCCTTGCTGCATCCCCCACCTCCACCTCCTCAACGCTGGTTTGCAAGTAGTTGCCATTGCTGGGTGCCTTGGGTGGGTGGCTCGTGGGTAGCAGCCTAGCAGCAGGTCGTTAGCTGCCCTCAGCAGCCTAGCAGGTCGTGAGCTGCCCTCGTAAGTGACTCGTGTCTCCGGCATGCGGGTCGTTGCCATTGCTGGGTGGCCGGGATAGTGGTAGGGTGGGATAGGAGTGTGAGAGGGGGAGAGGGAGGGAGGTTCGGAGGGTGAGAGGGTGGATAGCTGGTTCGCTTGAGCAGGCCACTTTCTGCCTGCCCTCCTGGATCTTATTCGTCTGAGCATCCCACCCGCTGCTGGATGGAGGCTACTGGAAGGGTGCCGCCTTTCTCACTCACCCTCCATGCCTCCCTCCCTGCTGCTCACCTCCCTTGCTGCTGCTCCCCTCCTCCCTGCACGCTCATTTTCACAGGCCTGGACCATCTAGGAGTGGACGAGTTCGTGGATGGGGTCTACTGGAAGGGTGCCACCTTTCTCACTCACCCTCCATGCCTCCCTCCCTGCTTCTCACCTCCCTTGCTGCTGCTCCCCTCCTCCCTGCACGCTCATTTTCACAGGCCTGGACCATCTAGGAGTGGACGAGTTCGTGGATGGGGGCTACTGGAAGGGCGAGCTGTACATTGACGATGGCAAGCGGTGCCCCCTGCCTCCCTGCCTCCCTGCCTCCCTGCCTCCCTGCCTCCCTGCCTCCCTGCCTCCCTGCCTCCCTGCACTGCTGCTCATCGCCCTCCCCTTCCCTCAACGCACCGCTATGCCCACAGGCCTGGACCATCTGGGGATGGACGAGTTTGTGGATGGGGGCTACTGGAAGGGCGAGTTGTACATCGATGATGGCAAGCGGGCCTACAGCGCACTGCAGCTCAAGTCCATCTCCCTCTGGCAGGTGCGTGTGCTGTGCGCCTGCTGCTTTGAACACTCTCTTGGGCTACTGGAAGGGCGAGTTGTACATCGATGATGGCAAGCGGGCCTACCAATCTCTGCAGCTCAAGTCCATCTCCCTCTGGCAGGTGCGTGCACTGGCAGGTGCGTGCACTGGCAGGTGCGTGCACTGGCAGGTGCGTGCACTGGCAGGTGCGTGCACTGGCAGGTGCGTGCACTGGCAGGTGCGTGCACTGGCAGGTGCGTGCACTGGCAGGTGCGTGCACTGGCAGGTGCGTGCACTGGCAGGTGCGTGCACTGGCAGGTGCGTGCACTGGCAGGTGCGTGCACTGGCAGGTGCGTGCACTGGCAGGTGCGTGCACTGGCAGGTGCGTGCACTGGCAGGTGCGTGCACTGGCAGGTGCGTGAACTGGCAGGTGCGTGCACTGGCAGGTGCGTGCACTGGCAGGTGCGTGCACTGGCAGGTGCGTGCACTGGCAGGTGCGTGCTCTGGCAGGTGCGTGCACTGGCAGGTGCGTGCACTGGCAGGTGCGTGCACTGGCAGGTGCGTGCACTGGCAGGTGCGTGCACTGGCAGGTGCGTGCACTGGCAGGTGCGTGCACTGGCAGGTGCGTGCACTGGCAGGTGCGTGCACTGGCAGGTGCGTGCACTGGCAGGTGCGTGCACTGGCAGGTGCGTGCACTGGCAGGTGCGTGCACTGGCAGGTGCGTGCACTGGCAGGTGCGTGCACTGGCAGGTGCGTGCACTGGCAGGTGCGTGCACTGGCAGGTGCGTGCACTGGCAGGTGCGTGCACTGGCAGGTGCGTGAACTGGCAGGTGCGTGCACTGGCAGGTGCGTGCACAGTGTGCGTGCTGCTTGGTGCGCGCTCTTGGGTTCCTCTGCTTGTCCTGCTTGCCTGCTTGCTTGGGTCAGGCCGTGCTAACTAGCACACGCATGCGGGCCAGCGCGACTGAACTACCTTGCATGGAATCTTGACACATCCATGTTGCATAACAGCCTGCCAGTTCACTGTAGTGAACATCTCACTCCCCGCCATCTCCCTCAAGCCCCCAATCCCCCCCCCCCCCCCCCCTACACTGCCCACCCCAAGCTCTTTCCATGTTGGGGAAGGTGTGTGTGGCATGACGTGTCACCACCCTGCCTGGACTGCCATCACTCGCAGCTTCATTCCCCTCTCACTCGCTTGGCCCACCGTGCCTGGACTACCATCACTCGCAGCTTCATCTCATCCCCCTCTCGCTCGCTTGCCCCCACTTCCTCCCTACCACTCCATGGACTTTGGGGTTCACCAGGTGGCATATCAGCTGCTGTTTGACAAGACTGTGAAGAAGTCTCTTGGAGACACGGCCAATGTGAAGGGTGACCTGGCTGGAGATGGCCTGTGAGTACACTCTACACTTTTTTTTTAGTAACAGTTCAGGATATGTTATTATGTGCATGCTTCTCTCAATCTTTGTTTTCTTGAGCCGTTTTGTGAGATTGCATTTTGGTGTGTGTTTTTGTGATTGTGTCTGTGCATTGGCTGCAGGCAATTGGGAGCCACATTCGTGTTCGATAAAGGTGGCAAGCTGCTCCACGAATTTAGACAAGTGACGGTGGCAGACCATCCGTCTACAGAAGAGCTTTTGAAGCCTTTTGGAATTGATTCAAGCGTTCTTAGCGGATTCAAGGAGGCAAGAGGAGTTGAGGAAGGGGGCAAGAAGTCTGCCTGTGAAGGAGAGGAGTGCTTGTAATCAGCAGTTTTGTAATATATATCGGTAGTGATTTTTAACATGTGCTCGATTCTATATTGGTGTACCCTCAATCGCTCAAATTGTACTTCCAACTAGGGTCAGAGTCGAGTACAAATTTCAACGGCCGCGCCGTGAGTCCGTGACCCCCACCACCCAAGCGTGACGGACAGTCATTCACGTGACTGGTGGCTGCCCGAAGCGCTTGATCCAAATTCCCTGGGTTGCCACGCGGCAGTCAGAGCGTGGGAACCGCGTATCGTTAATAACACATCAGCACTGTCTATCGACCCCTGCCACAAAATGGCTTTGGGAATGCCGGCCACGTGAGTGCACCTCACATGGTTGCACAGCATTGCATCCAACATGAGGGGGAGGACTGCCAAAAAAATGCTGAGGAAGCCACGATTTTGTTCACGGCTGGTCAGAAGGTGATTAGAGGAGACTACAGCGTAATTTGTGTACTTGAAAGCCCGCTTCTCTGCAGAGATTCGCGTTTTGTATAGCTGGGTTGTTCTAAACCGCGTTCGCTGCTAGCTTCGACATTGCATTTCCACAATCAAGGCCTCCATTCGACCCAGCATCTGCTGCTTCAACACTAACCATGGCGTTCGCGACTCGTGCAACCAGCTGCCAGCTCCGTCTGCCAGCGAATCTTCCTCTATATTCCGGGCCCAAGGTAGGATTCCTGTGAGAATTAATATCCAATATCGCGTACAGAGCTCTAGCGAAGCTAATTAGGTATATCGCGTCACCTTTCGCCTCTTTTTGCGTCAAGTTGCTGCTGCATTCCAGGCAGGCAATGCCTGACTTCAATCCCTGCTTTGTTGTACGAAAAAGTGCCACTGTTCCATTATTACCCTTTTTGCCTCTCCTTGATAAATAAATCAGAAGGCCTCTCAGCAGCACACTCCTCTCCTCGTCAAGGCCCCTCAAAACAAGGACTGACATTTCCATTCTCTGCTTTCCCGCAACAGAAGCTGACATTTCCGACTCTCCTCAAGTACGTACACCATTTAAGCATCCTCATTTTCCAGTTACCCCCCATCTCCCCGCGTATCCCCAGGCCCCCGCCTCCCTCCGCCTCCCCGTCGTGCGTGCGGCGGCGGGCGATGCGGAGAGCAGCGGCGCGGAGAAGCCGCGCGTGGGGGAGCCGCAGGGGGAGCGCGCCAAGGGCATCTTCGAGTTCGTGACGGACAACGCGTCGAGCCGCTCCGCCATCCAGCTCAAGAACGCGCCCGCCATGGACGGCAACGTCGGCCAGATGATCTCGGTGCGTGCGTGCGACAGCGCGCGACACTGTGCGACACTGTGCGCCGGATTACGATGATACGAGGGACAGCGTGCGACAGATTGTACTGGTCCGCGATGATCAATAGTGTCGCCTGATTGAGCGACGTTGGCGGCGGTTGCGTGGAAGCTTCTCGGACTGAGAGGAGAGTCGATACGAGGGGTGAGAGCGGGTGAATGGCGCTCGAGTCGGCTCGGAGGTCAGGCTAAGGAACGTGCGTAAGGGACTTGACGTGCGCAGCTAGCAGAAACCGAATAGCTTGCGACTTGGACTTAGTCTCCTCCACCTCTCCGACCCCGTCCCCCTGCCGCCCCTCTGCCGCCCCTCTGCCGCCCCTCTGCCGCCCATCCAGGGCGCTGGAGGCGAGACGGAGGAGGGGCGGGCGGGAGGTTCGGAGGAATACGTTGAGGCGTTTCAGTGGAAGGCTGGGGTGGGCACATTTGGGTGGGGGGAAGGGTGGGGTGGGCGCATTTGGGTGGGGGGAAACGTGGGGTGGGCGCATTTGGGTGGGGGGAAACGTGGGATGGGCGCATTGGGGGGAAGGGATGTCATGGGAGAAGGGTTCAGAGGAGAAGTAGGAGGCGAGGGGGTTTCTCAGAGAACACGAGAGTGACTGGTCGTGGTGGCTCACAGGAGACAGCACTCCAGTGAAAGGGCACGGTGGGGTAGAGGGGAACGGGCGCGAGACAGGGCGCGAAAGAAACGGGAAGGGCTCGGGGATGGCTAATCGGGAAGGGTTCCATCTGATCCATAACGGGGATGGAGGTCAGATGGATGTTCCGCTTTATGCGGGCGTGAATGCATGACGGCATGAATATGTGGCTCCACTTTCTCCATGCATCCCCTCGCCTCGTGTCTTCTCGTTCCTTGACACGCTCTGTGCACATTCACCATATCACCAGCCCTTGGCATCTCTACCCCATCCCATTCCTCGCCTTCTGTCATCTCTCTCCGCCATGCCCGCGCCCCTCACTCGGCCCATGCCCTCACCCGTCCCCATCCCGTGCCCTCGCCGCTCAACCATCCCCATCCCATGCCCCTTCGCCCTTCCCCATGCGGCTGTGCGAGCAGGCGATAGAGGACAAGGGCAAGGACACGGGGGCGTACTTGCTCTCGGGCGAGTTCCACTCCACTCACCCTTGTCAATTGATTTGGGAAATTCTCAAATTCAACCGTGCATTTCATCCTCTCTTCCACTCCACATGCAGGCGATAGAGGACAAGGGCAAGGACATGGGGTCGTACTTGCTCTCGGGCGAGTTCCAATACTTCGTCCGCCAAATAGGTGTGTGTGCCCTTTGGCTTACCTTGTTAGGCAAATAGGCGCGCCCTTCGCTTGTTCGCCCACCGTCATTCTCCTCTCCCTTGTATGGAATGTAACCATTCCGAGGAGCTCCAATGTAACCACATACATCGGAATGTAACCATATAACTGTACGTGGAGGGAGCACCAGCGTAACCAATGAGTTGTAACTGAACAGCTGACCCCCTTCTCCGCTCCTCCCTGCACGTGCATGCATCGATCCTCTCGTGATGTACTTGCAAGAACCACTTGGGAAAGAAAAGGTGAAGGTGATTCAGTTGTGTTGTAGCTGTTGGTGTACGTGAGTCGAGTTTTGAGTCGACTCAAAACTCGACTCACTACATTAGGAGAAGAGTGAAATACTTGAAGGAGAATTTTCAAAGGTGATTCAGGTGTAGCTGTTGGTGTTGGTGTACGTGAAGTACTTGCACTGTTCCAGCGCAGTGGGAGGAGAGTGCATCAAAATCCTCGACCGCCTTCACTTCACCCTTCTCCCCTCCACCCCATTTCCCTCTGTTCATATCAGGCAATGCGAGCGACCCTCTGGTGGTGTACCTGCACGGCGCTCCGGCACAGTCGTGGGGCTTCCGAGAAGTGATGCAGCAGGTGAGTGGCGGTGCTGCATGGATAGATGCGTGCAAGCATGCGCTTGTTTGCTCACTCAAAGACACATCAGGCAACGCAGGGGATCCTCTGGTGGTGTACCTGCACGGCGCTCCAGCTCAGTCGTGGGGCTTCCGGGAAGTGATGCAACAGGTGGGTGGCCATGCTGCATGCAAGCATGCATGCGCATGTGTACTCATTCAGCACATGGGCAGACGGGTACACACACACACAGGCGCATGCACGCATGCACATGCGCGCGCACACACACACACAAACACAGGGTGCATCTTGTCCCATTCGCCAATGCTGGCAACTAGAACCTTTGAAGGGCAAAGCACACACATCAACAAACCCCTTTTCCTCCACTCCCTCCTACCTCCACCCCTCCCCTGCCTCATCCGGCATGGCACCACGGGCAATTGATGGAGTTTGAGACGTCTCAAAACCCTTCTTCATACCCCTGCCTCATCCGGCATGGCACCACTGGCAATTGGTGGGGTTTGAGACGTCTCAAAACCCTTCTTCATACCCCTGCCTCATCCGGCATGGCACCACGGGCAATTGATGGAGAAGGGCTACGTGCAAGAACTACCCCTTGGCCCTTAACCCATTCCCTTGGTCGTTGCCGTGGGGCTATATATATGCATATAAACGCAAAACAGAACTAAAATTTGCAACACGGCCAATGGGCAGAGAAGGGATACACGCAAGAACTAACCCTTGGCCTTTCCCCCACTCCCTTGGTCATTGTTATGGCTGCGCGGAGCAGATGGCGGAGAAGGGCTACAGAGGCATTGCGCCTGACTGGCTGGGCTTTGGCTTCTCAGAGAAGCCCCAGCCCGGCTACTACTTCGCTTACACTGGTGAGAGCGGAGTGAGGGGGGTGTGGCTGTGGTCCAGGTGGTGGGGGTGATAAGGGCATGAGGGGGATTGGGCGACTGGCTGGGCTTCGGGTTCTCTGAGAAGCCTCAGCCAGGGTACTACTTCGCTTACACTGGTGAGAGAGAGAGGGGTAGGGAGGGCGTGGTGGGAGTGGGGGATGAAGGCGGTGTGGGTGGGGTGCTGGTGAGTCTCCTGTGGGGTTCAGCTTCTCTGAGAAGCCCCAGCCAGGGTACTACTTCGCTTCCACTGGTGAGAGCGGAGGGGGGAGGGGATGTGGCAGTGGTTCGGGTCGGGTGGTGGGGTTGATGAGGGCATGGGGGGAATGGGTAACGGGTGGGGGAGGTGGGTCGGCTTCTCAGAGAAGCCTCAGCCTGGCTAGTACTTGCTTAAACTGGTGTGAGGGGGGAGGGGAGGTGTGGCGGTGATCTGGGTGTTGGGGATGATGATGGGGGAGCGAAGGAGAATAGTTGATGGGAGGGGTGGCTCGACTTCTCTCAGAAGCCCCAGTTCGGGTACTACTTAGCTCTCACCGGTGAGAGAGGAGGGGGGGGGGAGGGCGGCGAAGGGGTGAGTGGGGGTGGTGAGGATGAAGGGATGAGGGTGATGAGGTGATGGGGGGATTTGGGGGGCGGGAGGGATGGGAAGGTGAGGGGGATGGGTGGATGAGTAGGGAGATCAGAGTGGAGCATTGGGAGGCGGGGTCATGTGCGCTTCACATGTCTCCCTGCATCCCTAACAAGGGAGGCGCACATGTCCCCGCCTCCCTCTCCCATCCATTCAAACCAGGCCAGAAAAATTGAATGTCTCCGTCCCAAACGAAGCTATCAGTCACCCCATGAGCCCAGGCCCAGCCTAGCTGCCAATGCCGCCTTGCCTGCATCTGAGCAGGTGTATGTGCATTGACCCCGCTCCTCACTGCCTCTCTCTCCTCTCCCTCCCCCTTCCCCCCATCCATGCAGAGCATGCGTGCCACCAAGAGACGGACTGCCTGTTGCCGCCCTGCATGTGACTGAACCCCTACATTGACCCTCGCCCCTTGCTCCTCACTGCCTCTCTCTCCTCTCCCTCCCCTCCCCCCCAATGCAGAGCATGCGTGCCACCAAGAGACGGACTGCCTGTTGCCGCCCTGCATGTGACTGAACCCCTACATTGACCCTCGCCCCTTGCTCCTCACTGCCTCTCTCTCCTCTCCCTCCCCTCCCCCCCAATGCAGAGCATGCGTGCCACCAAGAGACGGACTGCCTGTTGCCGCCCTGCATGTGACTGAACCCCTACATTGACCCTCGCCCCTTGCTCCTCACTGCCTCTCTCTCCTCTCCCTCCCCTCCCCCCCAATGCAGAGCATGCGTGCCACCAAGAGACGGACTGCCTGTTGCTGCCTTGCATGTGACTCAACCCCTGCATTGACCCTCGCCTCTTGCGCCTCCTTCTCTCTCTCCTCTCGCCCCCCCATCCATGCAGAGGACGTGTACCACCAAGAGCTGGACCGCCTCTTGGAGACTCTCAATGTTACTCAGCCTTTCTACCTTGTCGTGCATGTGAGTCAATGATTTTTACACCAAGCCGTCTCCCAGCCCGTTTACCCTGTGCTGCATGCGAGTGTCTTCGCCTTATAACGAGCCTGTTCTTAACCTCATTGCAGTGCGTGTAAGTGAATTTCGCCCTACTACAAACCGTATTTCAACCTTTTTTTCTTTCTTTCTTTCTTTCTTTCTTTCTTTCTTTCTTCTTTTCTCCTTGTCCGAAACGAAATATCTTTCCGTCGTCTCCCCGTCCTCTCCCCATGCCCCTGCACGGTGCATGCTCTCTCCCATTTACGGTACAGGGCTGCCTGGTGGGCAGCTACGGCCTCACATGGGCGCTCAAGAATGCACCATATAGCAAAATCTATATCTCGGGCCTTATAACTCTCCCCATCCCCCCCCCACTGCACGGTGCATGCATGCAGGGCTACCTGTTGGGCAGCTACGGGCTCACATGGGCGCTCAAGAACGCACCTTAAAGCAAAATCTATATCTCGGGCCTTACAACTCTCCCCATCCTCCCCCCACTGCACAGTGCATGCGTGCAGGGCTACCTTTTGGGCAGCTACGGGCTCACATGGGCGCTCAAGAATGCGCCTTATAACAGATTCTATTCCTCGGGCCTTATAACTCTCCCCATCCTCCCCCCACTGCACGGTGCATGCTTGCAGGGCTACCTGGTGGGGAGCTACGGCCTGACATGGGCGCTCAAGAACGCCAGCCGCCTCAAGGGACTCGCCATCCTCAACACGCCGCTCTCCGCCTCCTCGCCCCTGCCCCAGATCTTCCAACAGCTCAGGTGCTCACAACAGACCAGGTAGCCTCTCAGGTGCTCACAACAGACCAGGTGGGATCAGGTGCTCCCAGCAGTCCAGGTGGGATCAGGTGCGCGCAGCAGACCAGGTAGGCTCAGGTGCTCTCAACAGACCAGGTGGGCTCAGGTTCTTTCAACAGACCACGTGGGCTCGGGTGCTCTCAAAAGACCAGGTGGGCTCAGGTGATCTCAACAGACCAGGTGGGCTCAGGTGATCTCAACAGACCAGGTGGGCTCAGGTGATCTCAACAGACCAGGTGGGCTCAGGTGATCTCAACAGACCACGTGGGCTCGGGTGCTCTCAAAAGACCAGGTGGGCTCAGGTGATCTCAACAGACCAGGTAGGCTCAGGTACTCTCAATTCAACAGACCCGGTGCGATTAAGTGCTCAACTCAACTCGCTGTGCCTGAACGCTTCGCTGCTCAGCTGCTACCCTCGCTCCACTCATACGCATCTGTCTGCCATCTCTCTCACTCTCCTTTGCTGCCTTCCTCACCCTCTCCCTCCCTCCCTTTCCGCCTTCCTCACCTACAGGCTACCGTTTGTGCTCGAGTTCCAGTGCCAGAACGCCGTGCTACATGGCCGATCCCCTCACAAGCTTCTGTGTGCCATTCTTCCCACTCCCCTCCCTCTACCCTTTCTCCCTTCACCCCCCAGACTGCCCTTCGTGGCCGAGTTCCAGTGCCAGAACGCTGTGTTGGTTTGCCAACCTCCTCACAAGTTGCCATCCCTCCCTTCCCCCTTCTCTCTCTCCGCCTTTATCCCCCAGACTGCCCTTCGTGGGCGAGTTCCAGTGCCAGAACGCCGTGCTGGTTTGCCAACCTCCTCACAAGTTGCCATCCCTCCCTTCCCCCTTCTCTCTCTCCGCCTTTATCCCCCAGACTGCCCTTTGTGGGCGAGTTCCAGTGCCAGAACGCCGTGCTGGCAGAGCGCTTCATTGGTAGTGGCGAGTGGACTCAAAGGCACCTCTCACTCTACCTCTCCCATTTCTCTCCCTCTTATCCCCCCAGACTGCCCTTTGTGGGCGAGTTCCAATGTCAGAACGCCGTGCTGGCAGAGCGCTTCATTGAGAAGGGCAGCCCGTGAGTGCTCTGAGTGCTGCGTGGGAGGGCGCAGGGTGGGAGAGCGAGTGCTGAGGGCAGCCCGTGAGTGCTGAGGGCGCACGGTGGGAGGGTGGGTGGAGGGTGGGAGCGGGCATAGGGTGGGTTGTGAGTGGGGAGAGTATCAGAGTATCAGAGTGGCAGAGTGGCAGGGAAGGCTGTGGATGAATGCTGCAACCATCCGTCCATCCATCCATCCATCCATCCATCCATCCATCCATCCATCCATCCATCCATCCATCCATCCATCCATCCATCCATCCATCCATCCATCCATCCATCCATCCATCCATCCATCCACCCACCCACCCACCCACCCTCTCCTCTTCAGCTAATCCATGCAACGCTGGTGTGTTGCCTCGTTTGAATGCTACTTCTTCCTAAACACGTTCTCATCATTGTGCCCCTCTGCGTGTGATGAGTCGAGTTTTGAGTCGACTCAAAACTGGACTCGACTCAAAACATGTGCTCATCATTGTGCCCCTCTGTTCCCATCCCTCTTCAGCCTACCCCTGCCTCCCATCCCCTCCCAGCTACTCCCTGGAGCTGGACAATGCAGACGTGTAGCGCCTGCCGTACCTCGACAGTAAGAGCCACTCTCCTCACTGTGCCTCTCCCGTTCCTCAATCGTTGTGCGTAACCCACCCCTCCCCCCTCCCCCCCCATGCAGCTACTCCCTGGAGTTGGACAATGCAGACGTGTACCGCCTGCCGTACCTCGACAGTGGAGAGCCTGGATTCTGTAAGCCATGCCCCAGCCACATGCCATATGTCATGCCCCAAGCACATGCCATATGTCATGCCCCAAGAACATGCCATATGTCATGCCCCAAGCACATGCCATGTGTCATGCCCCAGGCACATGCCATATGCCATGCCCCAAGCACATGCCATGTGTCATGCCCCAAGCACATGCCATATGCCATGCCCCAAGCACATGCCATATGCCATGCCCCAAGCACATGCCATATGTCATGCCCAAGCACATGCCATGTGTCATGCCCCAAGCACATGCCATGTGTCATGCCCCAAGCACATGCCATATGCCATGCCCCAAGCACATGCCATATGCCATGTCCCAAGCACATGCCATATGTCATGCCCAAGCACATGCCATATGCCATGCCCCAAGCACATGCCATGTGTCATGCCCCAAGCACATGCCATATGTCATGCCCCAAGCACATGCCATATACCATGCCCCAAGCACATGCCATATGGCATGGCATAAGCACATGCCATGAGTCATGCCCCACCCACATGCCATATGCCAAGCCCCACCCACATGCCATATGCCAAGCCCGACCCATTCATCTCAGTCACCTGGAAGCAGCATACAAGGCCAGCCCCCAAGCAGGCTTCTTCCCCTCACACCACGCCTCTTGTGCCTTCCGTCTTTCCTCCCGCCCCCCTCGCCTGCCACCCCCCCCCCCCCCTCGCCTGCCACCCACCCCCCCCCCCCACTCCTCTCCCCCGCCCCCCTCGCCCTGCTACCTCCAGCCCTGTTGGAGACGGCCCGCAAGGCCAACCCCAAGCAGCTGGGGGAGAGGATCCAAAACACGCTCTCCGCCTCTAGGTACGTCTTCTCTCCTCTCGTCTCCTCTCGTCTCCTCTCCTCTCCTCTCCTCTCCTCTCCTCTCTGCTCCTCTCCTCTCCTCTCCTCTCCTCTCCTCTCCTCTCCTCTCCTCTTTTCTCCTGTTCTGTCCTTTCCTCACCTTTCCTCCCTTCCCTTCTCCTCTCCTCTCCTCTCCTTTCGGCTCCTCCCTTCTCCTCTCTGCTCCGCTTTTCTCCCCTCCTTTCTTCTCCTCTTGTCTCTCATCCTGCCTCTCACCCTAGAATATCCACCTCCATACACCTCCCTGTCATCCCCTCCACCGCACTGCACCTCACTGCACAGCTGGACGGTGCCAACAGTGATCGCGTGGGGCAAGGACGACCCATACATCCCCATCACGGAGGCTCAGGCAATCGCCAAGGCCAACTCTTCATCGGTCACTCTTCGGGTGCTGGAGGGCGCCGGGCACACGCCCCAGGAGGACTGGTGAGCTGGGTTGGGGGCAGGGCGCTACAGCAATAGAGGAGTGGAGGGGTAGAGGGGCACGGAAGGAGGGGCAAGGACGACCCATACATCCCCATCACGGAGGCTCAGGCCATCGCCAAGGCCAACTCTTCATCTGTCACTCTTCGCGTGCTGGAGGGCGCCGGGCACACGCCGCAGGAGGACTGGTGAGCTGGCTGCGTGGTAGAGGGGTGGAAGGGGGGCGGGGTATATGCATAGGCGGTGGCCTTTCAGGGTGCTGGAGGGCACTGGGCACACGCCCAGGAGGACTGGTGAGTTGAGGGCGGGTGAGGGAGGGCAGAGCTACAGGGTGAAGTTGTATATGCATAGAAGGTGTCTTTTCCGGGTGCTGGAGGGCGCGGGGCACACACCGCAGGAGGACTGGTGAGCTGGCTGCGTGGTAGAGGGGTCGAAGGGGGACGGGGTATATGCATAGGCGGTGGCCTTTCAGGGTGCTGGAGGGCACTGGCCACACGCCCCAGGAGGACTGGTGAGCTGGGGGAGGGGAGGGAATAGAGGGGTAGAAGGGTGAAGGGGTATATGGAGAGAAGGTGTCCTCTCAGGGTGCTGGAGGGTCAAGGCACATGCCGCAGGAGGACTGATGAGCTTGCGGGGAGGAGGAGGGGGAAGTAGAGCGCTACAGGGGTGGGGGATGGAGCGGATGAGGGGTAGAGGGGTAGAATAGTAAATGGATGTGCTTTTGAGGGCACAAGGCACAGACCGCAGGAGGACTGGTGAGCTGCACACGTGGGGGAGGAAAGGGTTGGGGGGTAGGCAGTAGAGTGGTGGGGCGGTAGGCTGGCAGGGAAGTAGATGTATGTGCTTTTGAGGCGCCACAGTGGCTGCGGGACACACGTCTCAGAAGGACTGGTGAGCCGGGGGAGCGGTAGGGGGGGGTGGTGTGGGCAGGGACGATCCCCACTTTTGAGGTGCGTAAAAAATTGGCTGGGAACTAGAAGAGAGCCAGAAGGGCAGGTAGAAAGGAGGAAGAGGGATGGGGTGTGGGCAGGGACGACCCCTGCACGCCCATCATGGTTTGTAGCAAACCTATCCCGTACGGCTCAGGCTGTAGTGCGCCCACCCCCTGCAGCTCATGACGTGGTTAGGCCAGTGTGGGTGGGTGCTATCGCTGAGGGTGCTGCCAGCAGCTGGGCATGCACCTCTTCAGAAGGAGGCTCGGTGTGGCTTTGTGAACGCTATTTGAGAACTCTCAGCTGGGCATGCAGTGTGGTGGGCTGTGGTAGTGTGGCTTAGTGAAAGCTGTTTGAGAATTCTCAGGTGCTGTGCAGATTCTGACCAGCAGATAGAAGCGTGGACAGGATGTGCATACATTTAGAGGAACACATTACGTTGGAGACATATAGCTTACCTTCCCTTGTTATACTGTGCGTTCCACCCCTTTGACACATGCAGGTCGGAGAAAGTGGTGGATAGCCTTCGAGTCTCCTTCAACTGAGCTGGACAAGCAGTCGTCGAAAGAATGCTATCTTTCTGTCCCTGTCACACATGGCTTCATAACGGATGTCTTCGATTGCTATGGTACTATATGGAAGAAAGAAAGCAGAACCACATTCCCATGCTATCAAAAGCCCCAGAATGCTCCGACAAACCCTAGACCGTACTTGCTGTACCAAATTCGTAGGCGTCACACCTTCATGATAAATCAAAATCACCATGCCAACATCTGTATCTGAAAACTACCGTATGTGAACATTCTCTTTCCTGTTGCAATAACCTGCAAATTGACCCAAAGCGTCATGTCAACAGAGCGCTGGCAATTGCACTGAACCAAAAGCATCCGAACAAAACAAGATGAGCGTTGTCAATCAGTGAGACGACATGACATTACAAAGTTGCTGCTTGGTATGAAGGGAACATTTTGCTATGGATGGACGCATAGCCACTGGTTTGACTTCACACAACAATTCTCAGAAAGAGACCCGTCGTTTAATATATGGGTCTTGGATGTAAGACATGATTTTTTTTAGTTTAATAAAAAATGCATCCCGTTTACAACAAGAACCTTGCCTATACACAGTAGTGTTTTGCGAGCTATTTAGGCAATGGCGCTCGTGTTGACGATGAGGAGCGCACCGATGGCGAGAAGGCCGCCGAAGGTGAGGAACCACAGGAGCAGACCAGCCTTGCCTGCACGAATAGAAGGTTAAGGTCAGCTAAGGGGAAATTGGATACAAATTATTTTGTGCAATAATAAGTCGATGTGAACAACACGTGCGAATACTTACCACCCTCGTAGGTGTCACCCTTGGCGGACCACTCATCAGGGGTCCAGATGGGGCTGTAGCCATCGACGTTAGCACCGTACTTCTTCGCGAACTGGAAGGTACCCTTGCCCTTGGAAGGAGAGCCGGAGGGGTCCACCTTGAACTTGTAGTCACCGCTGGGGCCTGCGCGCATGACGTTACAAGAAGCATCACAGTAGCAGTCAGCAATGACTCAAACCGACCCTCACGATTGTTTGATTTCCCTTCACCAGCTGTTAACCTGAATTGAGCTAGTTAGTCTGAGAACTAACCCAGGGGGGTCTTGGTGACGGTCTTCTTGCCGCCGCTGGCGGTCACCTTCAGGCTCCGGGTCGCGGAGACGGTCTTCCTGGCGGGGAGGGTGGGAAGAGCGACGCCAGCGAAGGTGCTGGAGAGAGCGGCGGTGGCAGCCATGGCTAAGGTGTGTGTTTGGGTGAGAACGAAGGGTGAAGCAAAGAGCAGGTGGATGGATGCGTTCACAGGGATGCTCGAAGCGTACCGAATTCTGAGAGTGTGGGACAATATGACCCCCCCAGGATGATTTTCCCAATGTTTTCGACTATCTGCCCGGATTGGCCCACCAATCCAGCTCGAAGGTTAGCTATTGGTTCATAGGAGGCTCGAATGACGCAACCTAGTTCCCGGGCAGGAAACAAATGGGTTGCCGACATCGCTATCATGTTGAAAGCGAAGGCTATCCGGATGAGCAATAAGGGATTGCCACGTCAAGAGAACTTCGAAATGCCCGAGTTTTTCTGATCCACCCGGGACACTTTCCTGCCACACCCTCCACCAACCCTGTAACTGTGTCCCTGCCCTGCTGACCTTCAATTTTGAGACTCGTTCGTGATCACCGAAATACGCGAAACTGAAAGCTTATGAAATTGTAACTCCCAACTCATTACTTCTACATAAATCAAGAATACTTAACTGAAATCCTACGATTTTCTCATGCATGTTGGCTTGGAACCAACCTATTATTTGACAGGCTTGTCTTTCGTACGACAAAGAAAATGATTGTTAAAACCAGCAGCTAAAATAGTGACCCCCTCCCCCTTCTAATTGGGTCCACTAGAAGGCTCATGAAAGTTTCCAGAAAGTTTGGCGTGATTTTTTCCGAACAGGGCAAATCCCCAAGTGGTTGCAAGTTGGGTTTGGAGTTGTTTTCAATTCCTGATACAAGCAGTCATAACATGCACAAAATTGTCGCAAGCTTGCTATGGCATTTCCACTTCTCCCGCCCATCCAAATTCGCATCGAGCTCAACACATGACCCGTATCGTATGGCCCTGGATTTAAGCGCAGGCCTATGTTAAGCGCATGCGCTTATATATGGAGCAATATGTCAGAATATATTTCTGTATAACTGCATGTAGTTTTAGCTGTAGTGTAGTTATGTTGCTGTCCTGTTAGGTGGTGCACCCTTTGGCTTGCTATATCTTGTAACTCTTCGCTTCGTGAACCCCACTCTTTTGGCCAATTCCACTCCCGCTCGTAACTCTCGCTAAACCTAATCTCCTAAGTTATTAGCTATCTTGACATGTTATCAGAGTGTGGTCTTTTCTAGGACCTATTCTACATGGGCCCACCAAATCCGCCATGTGCCATGGCAGCCCAGTGTGCTGCTGGCGCGAAATCCGCTGCTGTTTCAGGTGCTTATGCTAAACTCGTCGCGTTGCCCCCCGTCGCCTTCCAGTCGCCTGCCTCGTCGCGGCGCTCAGGGCGACGGTCGTGGCGTACATTATGGCGAGCGCCAGAGACCCGTTAGCGCGTTCGCGAATGCGCCAGCGACGGTCGCCAGCGCCATCGCCAGCAACCGCTGCCCGTCGCCAGCCACGTTGCCCGCGGACCCGTCGCCCGCGGCCCCGTCGCCCGTGGCCCAGTCGCCCGCGGACTCGTCGCCCGAGGCGCCGTCGCCCGCGGATCCGTCTCTTGCGGTCACGTCGCCCAAGGACCCGTCACACGCGGCCTCGTCGCCCTTTGCCTCGTCGCGCGAGGACCCGTCGACCGCCAGCAGCGCCTGCAGCCGTCGGCCCTTCTGCAGCCGCCCTTGCACCATCCACCTCACCTCACCCACGCCTCCCTCTGCGCTTCTGCTACTGGGAGAGGTGTTTGGGGTGGTGGACAGTGGGGGGGACGTGGTTGGGGTGGCGGACAGTGGGTGGACGTGGTTGGGGTGGCAGACGGTGAGGGGGACGTGGCGGGAGAGACGCTGCACCGCCAGCCGTCGCTCACCTTCCCTTCTCTCTCCCTGCTGCATGTGCAGCAGTGGGGGGGGAGGGTTTGGGGTGGCGGGTGTGAGCAACCTGCTGCCGCCCCTCTTCCTCTCTCTCTCACTGCCGCACGCGCCGCTGTGGGGGGAGGGTGAGGGGGTGGCGGAAGGGGTGAGGTTCCGGGTGGCGGCTGAACAAGGGGGGTGAGGTTTAAGGGGGTGGCTGAAAGGGGGTGTGGACTTGGGGGTTCATAAGAGGGGTTCGCCGCGTGGCTCCCCCCCACCTCCTCTCCTCATCCCTCTCTCACCTCCCCCTTTGTAAATGGGGGGTTCGTAAGAGGGGTTCGCCGCGTCGCTCCCCCCCACCTCCTCTCCTCATCTCTCTCTCTCACCTTTCGCCTCCTCCTCCTCACTTACCTCTCTGTTGTCTTCCGTTGCGCAGGGTGTACCCCTTCAGGGGGTGTTCTGCACATGGCTATTCCTGCATGCAGTTAGGGGGTGTGTCTGAATATATTTATGTATAACTGCATGTAGTTCTAGCTGTAGTGTAGTTATATTGCTGTCCTGTTAGGTGGTGCACCCTTTGGCTTGCTATATCTTGTAACTCTTCTCTTAGTGAACCCCACTATTTTTGCCAATTCCCTCCCGCTCGTTCCTCTCGTAACTCTCGCCATGGCTAAACCTAATCTCCTAAGTTATTAGCTATCTTGACACAATATGCTTATGGACGATCCTCAATTATAAGAGCATCCCATGTAAAACCCTTAGTTATTATAAGCGTATATATAATGTTATTTTTAGATCCTAGGCCGATCCTCAATTATAACGGTAACGATTTTCAAATTTGTTGCGAGTCCACATCCATTTTTACTTTGTTCAAGGGCCTCACTGGTTGCGCGTCCAGTCAGGATGAGCTCGCACACCTGCAAAGTGACGTGCCAAAGCTCTGTGCGCCGGCAGAGAATCGCCCTCGCGCGATTATGATCCAGGGCGCTAGATTCGATTGAAATCGCAAGACTGAGATGTATAATTTGGTGTGTTTATTTTGTATTGTCAAACTTATATGCTATATCTTGTGTAGGCTATAGTGGGGTAGCCCATATGGGGTACAACCCAATTAGGGTTAGTACTTGTACCCATCCTGCTGTTAGTCAATTCATTCTCGTTTATTCTGCTGACATGGTTTCAGAGTAGGTCCTAGCCTAGGACCGATTTTTAGGGCCCACCGAGTAGCGCTACCCCACCCGTCGCCCCGCCGTGATCGCGCCGCCCTGCCCTGCTTTGCCCTGCGTCGCGCTGCCTGCGCACGCCCTCCCCTACCCGCGCGCTGCCCGCAGCAGCGCGCTCTGCTTTGCCCGCGCGCCGCCCGCTGTAGCGCGCCCTATTTGCCAGCGCGCCGTCGCGCCGCCTGCCGCAGCGCGCCCTGCACTCCCCGCCCGTCGCGCCTCCGCGCGCCCTGCCCTGCCCGCGCGCCGTGCCGCCAAGCGCCCTGCCCTGCCCGCGCGCCGCGCCGCCGCGCGCTCTGCCTTGCCCGCGAGCCGCGCCGCCGCGCGCCCTGCCCTGCCCGCGCGCCGCGCCGCCGAGCGCCCTGCCCTGCCCGCGCGCCGCGCCGTCGCGCGCTCTGCCCTGCCCGCGCGCCGCGCCGCCGCGCGCCCTGCCCTGCCCGCGCGCCGCGCCGCCGAGCGCCCTGCCCTGCCCGCGCGCCGCGGCGCCGCGCGCTCTGCTCTGCCCGCGCGCTGCGCCGCCGCGCGTCCTGCCCTGCCCGCGAGCCGCGCCGCCACGCGCCCTGCCCTGCCCGCGCGCCTCGCCGCTGCGCGCCCTGCCCTGCCCGCGCGCCGCGCCGCCACGCGCCCTGCCCTGCCCGCGCGCCTCGCCGCTGCGCGCCCTGCCCTGCCAGCGCGCCGCGCCGCCACGCGCCCTGCCCTGCACGCGCGCCTCGCCGCTGCGCGCCCTGCCCTGCCCGCGCACCGCGCCGCCGCGCGCCCTGCTCTGCCCGCGCGCCCTGCCCTGCCCGCCACGCCGCCCTGCCTTGCCCGTGCGCCTCTCGCCGCCGCGCCGTCCTGCCCTGCCCGCGAACCGCCCTACTGGCCGCTGCACGGCCCTGCACTGCCTACACGCCGCCCTTCTAGCCGCGCGCCGCCTTTCCCTAACAGTGCGCTGCCCCGACCTACCCTAGTGACTGTTCGCCGCCCTGCCTTTCCTGCGTGCTGCCGTGCTGGTCGCACATCTCCTTCCTTTTTCCCGCTATGACGTCTCTTCGTGGTAGCGGTGGGAGTGGTGGTGGTGGTGGTGGCAGCAGTGGGAGTGGTGGCGACGGCCGCAGTGGCAGTCTAGGTGGAGCTGCTCGGTGGGGAGTTTCTGGCGGTGGCCAGATGCAGCTGCAGCGGCGTCCGCGCGAGACCCTTATGCCCCAGCAGCTGCGTGAGTGGTACGCTCAGAGTAGAGGGTCTCGGAGTACTGCTCGCTGCCCTTACGTCATTCGCACAGGTGATCGGGCTGGTCAGACTTGCGGGACAATTGGTCACACACAGTCCCGCTGCTTCACCAGTTTGAGCGTCGCCTGGCGTACAGAGTTTGGTGACGCGGCTGAGCTCCCCAGCTGGGTGGAGCTGCTTAGGCAGAGGGTGGATATCTTTGCTCTAAACTATGATGCTATCCTCACTGCCATGTATTGCATTGCCTGTTAGTGCTGAGGGTGACTGTTACCTGTGTGTGCCGCCCGACCCAGGTATAGAGGCAGTTTCTCTAGGTGCTGGTGAGTCTGCTGAGCTAGGTGCTAGTGAGTCTGCTGCTCTAGGTGCTGGTGAGTCTGCTCTCTCTGGTACTGCACCTGCTGAGGCCTTGCACACCTTTACGCTTGACTCAGGTGCTTCCCGCTGTTTTTTTTGCAACAGTACCGCACTCACACCGCTCCCTGCACCTGTTGCTATCTCTCTGGCTGACCCCTCTGGGGGCCCAGTCCTTGCACGTTCCTCCACTGTTCTCCCGTGTCCGGCGGTTCCGTCTGGCTCACTGTCAGGTCTTCACCTCCCCTCGTTCTCTACGAACTTGGTGAGCAACGCCGTCCTTCAGGATGTATGGGTTGACACCTTTACTCCAGCGTGTGGCGATCTGTACGTGCTCCCGGACAGTGGGAAAGGAATGGAGAGATGGAGTAGAGCCGAGAGCGCGTAGTTCGCTCACGAGAGAGAGGAATATGGAGTGTTCTCATGTGTGGAGCTAGGAGGCCACGGCTCGTGGGTGACAGGACGAGCAAGGTCGATCAAGCCGCGCTGTTGGTTGTGTACATAACGTAGGCAAGTGTTGTATAGCAAATAGACGAATGGTCGGGCAACGCCCTTCCTGATCTCGTGTCGTGAATATCAGCCTGGTGGGTCCCTTCCCTTGGCTTGCATTCCTCCAGATCCTCAGTTGCGTTCGCATTGGTCGTGCTTGTGCTGCGTGTCGTTGTTACAAGGTGCCGCGTGGACGACATGGTACCGGGCTCTTGCTTGCGGGACGAAGTGTCCGCGATAAACGAATTCGTCTAGAAGTTCGATACCACAAGGTCCAGTTTCGTGGCGGCTCTAGTGGTCACTAGAAGATTTATCAAGCATATGAATCGAAACATCTGTGCCAGAATTCAAAGAGTACGGCCAACTTTGAAGTGGTGTGACTCGTATAACCTTTACGCAACCTACAAGGCAGGAGAAAGACGAAACTACAATACTACTTGCTTCAATTGAGCTGATCCTAGGAGACAGAGTTCTACAGAGGAGTATATCACTTAGGACTCAGCTGGCTTCTCCTCATCCTTCTTGACAGCCAGCTTCTCAAGCTCCTCTGCTGTTTTCTCCGCCTCCTTTGCCACCTCCTTGGCTGCATCTGTGGTGCCCAGAATCGCTGCCATCTTCTCCTGTGCCTCCTCAAATGCACTCTTGAACTTTTGAGCACCTGGCCAGAACACAAGGGTAGAGTAAAACAAAAGTTAGGAAATGAGAGTGTTCGTAACCGGGGGTGAAGGGTGAAAGATGAGGTCTAATCAGGGCGAGCGTTTGAGGTAAGGCTTGCAAGATGCGTTAACACCGAGGAATGCAACAGGTTTGTCACAAGCAGGCCACAGCAAAACATTAAAAGCGCGAATCCAGGTAATAAAGAGGTAGCACTCACTTTCTGGCGAGCCGAACCGCATAGTGAAAAGCTCCTTCTTCAGCTCTCCGTCAGCGAAGTCCTGTGCATGCCACACCCAGGACTTGTCGCTCCCTGCATGCTCCTGAAGCGACATCGACGGTAGCACTGCAGGCAAAGGAAAGCACGATACATTCGGGAATTTGAGTTGAGCATGGCTTTAGAGAAGCTATTCCTGGGAATAGAATAGCCATAAGCTATCAAAGACACTGAACACTTTCCAGCATAGAAGCGGTATTTTTGTGGATTGAGCGCTGGGCAATGAATTCGTGGAAACAAGGGCACATGATTGTGACGGTGAATGTGCGCATTCAATCGGGTTGCCCTACCTGTGTGGTTGGCGCAAATCTTCAGCGTTTTCTGCTGTCGCATCAGCAGCCGAATCTTCTTGGTATCCTTGTGCTCCAGAAGCTTTACTTGGCCGACACCCCGCTCTTTCCATTGGTTCCCGTCCTTATCAAACCGGTAAAGCTTGGATTTGCTGGAATACATAGACATGTCACGTCAAATAGAAAAGACGGTTCATGATACCCCTCTCGGAGCCTGCGGGAGCTTGAAAGATAGAACGGATCTTGGGCATGTAAACGGCGTACGGAAACGGATCTCAGGTATGTAAATTGGGGGTGTGCAATCAGGGTTGTCACGGGTTCAGTATAATATACGTAGCTACGAGCTCGATCAGATAAGTATCGTAGACATCTAACTAACGGTACTGTCGTGCTACAACTCAGTGTTCAATTCCGGTGCTCAAGATGAGCATGTAACGTTACGTGACGTACGGACCTCTAGGGTTGTGAACAGCTTACATCTCAAAGAGGACGTTCTCATTCTCTTCACCGGTCGACACGGTAACCTCCTCCAATTTCACAATGGGAGCGATGTGAGCTCCCGTGTCCTCGTCATCGGCCTTGGGAGCATCATCATCCTCCTCCTGGTGAGCGGGATTTTCGATCTTCTCCTCCTCCGCAGACATGTTCACGGTCTAAAAGGCGACGCAAAATAATCTACAGGACAAGGAGGGACAAGTCACTACAATCGACCAGGGCGAATAGATTCCTGTTCGGCTGCGGATTTCCAAGAGAAGATGGAACTTGGATCCTGGATGAAAATGGTCGGATTTGCTGTGTTATGGGTCAACCTGGGAAACGTTTCTGGAGTAGGGTGCGAGGGATGGAGTGGTTGTGGAGGAAGGGTGGGGGAAAGGTTGGTTGGTGGGTACTGCTGGATGGAAGATGCTGGAGAGTCATGGGGGTTTGGCTGGGAGGTATGGGTGGACTGCCTGCAAGATCCGATGTGCCATGTATGGATGGATGAATGGAAGGCAGGGAATCATGGGATGGAACGATGCTGGGTGGTCTGCGTGTGCCACATGATACCAGACATTTTTGTTGGGATCAGCATGGGTTTTTGCGAACCCCAAAAAGAGATACCACATCTCTGCCACTTCAGTTGGCCGAATGTTTTCCCTATTTGCTGGAATTAATGGACCTGGCCTTGTTTGAAAACCTTCAGTTCTGCTGCTAAACGGTTTCGAGTGTCTCTACAGCGAAATGTCCAAGTCAGCAAATGTCATGACTCATAATCCTGGACCACATCAAATATCTTACTGGCCATGCGAACTGAATGTGCCTGTGTACGCTTTTCACACCTGCCCACGCCAGCAGGTCACACAAATCACCCAATCGAACGTCAGGATCTCCTCCTGCTTCACTGCCCACTCTGTCGGCGGAGCCAATGGAAAGTCATCCAGGGCCTCGTCCAATCCACACGGATTGAGATGACTGCACTGTACACACCCTCGAGAGTTGTTCGCACGAAAACCAAGAGGAAAGCAAAGCAGCACCATCGCCAGTAGCTTTCACAGCCTTCTTCTCCACCCCTGTGGCTGCCATGGAGGCATGTCACCATTCAGTGCTCTCTTAGCTGAAGCAGTAGCTAAAGCATTTCTTGTGCTCAAGCGTTCCTCAGGCATTTTGTCCCTTCCTCCGCATGGAGCGAGTGAGCATGTAGTAAAGGGCCTTCGTGTTTCTGTGCGCTAATGCAATCCGTTTTCTTAAGCGAGAGCATGTTTATATTCATTCGTAATTTCCGTCAAAATCGGTCGCCTACTCCAAGATTCTAGCTGCTACAAATTAGCGGCTCTTCACATCAATTTTCCCATCCATTTATTCCTTACCAGTATCTCTAATTAACGTTCTATAACGCGCGTATAGTTTTTATTTGAACGTTTCAATCATGCCGTCCAAGGGTAATTCATTCACGGAGTACGGTGAAAAGCCGAGCTCGAGGCGGCCCGGATTGCTGAAGAACCAGCTGCGGCTGGTGCGGCGAGTGATGGCGGACGGCAAGGCACGCAAGGAGATTGCTCCGGTGGAGGAGCAGCTGTCGTTCGAGAAAGGCTTCTTCCTCTTCATCCGCGCCGTGCAGCTCCTCACACAGGTGGGGCTAACTGCTCCTTCTGCTTAAGAACTAATTATATTTAGATATTTTTTTAGCTTGAAATTAGCAGCTCTCAAATTGGTGTAATCAGTGGCATCTGCTTGGATTGCTCCCACATCCCGTTGCAATGGCTTTTGCCGCTCAATGGCTGTTCAATGACTGTACGAGCATTCAGCTACGATGCCTATGTGTCAGTCCGTTTCAAATAGACATCAAGCGTCAATGCCTATGTATATTTGACATCCTGCTTCATTGTCCATTTAAATAAATTTCTGTAAGGGCAAATCAACTCCGTCCTGACCGACCGCGGCGCGCAGAACAATGCGGGGGTGATACTGGTGGGGCTGGCGGGGCCGTCGGGCGCGGGCAAGACGGCGTTCACGCACAAGGTGGCGGGCTTCATGCCCTCCATCGCCGTGCTCTCCATGGACCACTACAACGTCGCCTCTCGCGTCATTGACGGCAACTTTGACGGTCAGTCAATGGTCGCCGGTAGCTTTTAGTCGTTTAAAACATCGCCGTGCTCTCCATGGACCACTACAACGTCGCCTCGCGCGTCATCGACGGCAACTTCGACGGTCAGTTAACCCTCGCCAGTAACTTCTAGACGTTTAAAACATCGCCGTGCTCTCCATGGACCACTCGCGCGTCGTCGACGGCAACTTAGACGGTTTGTCACTCACCCCTCCTCGATGCTCCTCGGCTTATTCATTCTGTGTGGCGTGAAGTTCGAACAAGGATTATGTTCTACAATCGTTGAACTTGTTTTAAGCGCCTTTCTGAAGCTCTTTCCGAGACTCGCTGCCGCATGTGGTGCATGGGTTAAACGCATAAAAACGCACTGAAATGCGCTATAATGCGTCTAAATCCCTCAAACTGCATCAAACCGCATGGAACCACACTGCAGATCCGCGCATCACGGACTACGAGCTGCTGCTGGAGAACATCGAGGGGCTGCGGCGAGGCGAGGCGGTGCAGGTGCCCATCTACGACTTCAAATCCAGCCAGCGCGTTGCCTTCAGGTGCGCCCTTGCTTGAGTCACATGAGCCAACGAGTCAGGAGTCACTGTGAGTCAACTCACAAGTCCCCTGAGGCGAGGCGAGGCGGTGCAGGTGCCCATCTACGACTTCAAATCCAGCCGGCGCGTCGGCTTCAGGTGCGCGCGCCGCGCCTCCTTGGAGCGTTAGGTACCCTGTCCGTCCAGACATGCGCCAAGTCGAGTCTCACACACGTGTTGGCATCTTGTCTGGATCGACCCTTGCGAAAATAATTCAGCTGTTTTTGTTTTACTTCACATTTCTCTCTTGCCTCCCCTGCTCCAGCCATTCTTAGTCAACCTTCGTGTCTGCGCCATACCCATCCCATGGTACCATGCTCGCCCCTAAGGGAGCAGGCGGTGCCCAAGTCACGAGTGATCATCCTGGAGGGAATTCACGCGCTCAACGAGCGAGTGCGCCCGCTGCTGGACCTGCGAGTCACATGCATGTCCATCCACGCCCCCTCCTTCAGATCCTTGTCATCTCCCTAACGTGTTGCCTTCAGGGAGCAAGCAGTCCCCAAGTCACGAGTGATCATCCTGGAGGGCATTCACGCGCTCAATGAGTGCGTGAGACCTCTGCTGGACCTGCGGGTGGCCATCCACACCTCCTCCTCAACCTTTTTGTCTCACTCTCGTGTGCCCTTCACGTCCCGCAGGGAGCAAGCGGTGCCCAAGTCGCGGGTGATCATTCTGGAGGGCATTCACGCGCGGAACGAGCGAGTTAGGCCGCTGTTGGACCTGCGGGTGGCCATCCACTCCTTCATCACGCCCTTGTCATCTGATATTCGTGTGTGCCCTTCACGTCCCTCAGAGAGCAAGCAGTCCCCAAGTCACGAGTGATCATCCTGGAGGGCATTCACGCGCTGAACGAGTGTGTGCGCCCGCTGCTGGACCTGCGGGTGGCCATCCACGCAGTGTGTCTATCCAACCCAACCCCCCTTTCGCCTCCCCCTCCTTCACATCTTTGTCATCTTCCTCGTCTCTCTGCAGGGAGCAAGCGGTGCCCAAGTCACGAGTGATCATCCTGGAGGGAATTCACGCGCTCAACGAGCGAGTGCGGCCGCTGCTGGACCTGCGGGTGGCCATCACGGGCGGGGTGCATTTCGACCTCGTCAAACGCGTGTTGCGTGACATTGACCGATCCGGACAAGCTCCTGAGAGTATTATTCAGCAGATCTCCGAAACGGTGAGCGCAGAGTGGGCGTTTGCAAAGGGCAGGTGGACCAGACGCCTGAAAGCATCATCCAGCAGTGACCCCTCCTCGGACCTGCGGGTGGCCATCACGGGCGGGGTGCACTTGGACCTCGTCAAACGCGTGTTGCGTGACATTGACCGATCCGGGCAGGCTCCAGAAAGCATCATTCAACAAATTTCCGAGACGGTGGGTCAGTGGTGCAAAGGGTAGTGGGGGGAGGGGGAGAGCGGGGCAGGGTGGCCACGCGCCTGAGAGGATCATTCAGCAAAACTTCAAGAATGTGGATCGGCGGGGCGGAGGGGCACTGCTGCTGGACCTGCGGGTGGCCATCACGGGCGGCGTGCACTTCGACCTCGTCAAACGCGTGCTGCGTGACATCGACCGCTCGGGACAGGCTCCTGAGAGTATTATCCAGCAGATCTCCGAAACGGTGGGTCGGTGATGCAGAGTGGGACAGGCGACAGAGTTGAAGGGAGGGGGAGGGGGGGGAGGGGGAGGAGGAGTGAGAGTGGAGTTTGAGTGGGCCAGGCGCCTGAAAGTATCTTCCAACAGGATCTCCAAGCAGGTGAGCCCGTGGTCAGAGTAGGACCAGGTGTTCAAGGCGATGTTGGCCTTTGAGAATTCTCAAGAGCCAACTTGTCTAAGAGTTGGACCAGGTGTGCAAGGCGCTGTTGGCTTTTGAGAATTCTCAAGAGCCAACTAGTCTCAGAGTTGGACCAAGTGTGCAAGGCGCACTTGGCGGCTGACAGGGTTGGGGAGAGGAGGGAAGGGAGGGGGTGGGGCAGGCGCCTGGAAGCATCAGGCAAGAGATCTCCCAGGTGTTCATCGAGCCATTCATGTTTTCCTCTTGCCCGTGCTGTCCTGCATGCCCGCCCTGTCCTGCATGCCCGCCTGCACCCCCCAGGTGTACCCGATGTACAAGGCGTTCATAGAGCCAGACGGCGCACATCCTGCTTGCCCCTCACATGTGCCACCCTGAATGCATGCCCTGCCTGCACGCCGTGCATGCCTGAATGCCCCGCATACCTCCCCCAGGTGTACCCGATGTACAAGGCGTTCATAGAGCCGGAGCTGAAGACAGCGCACATCCGCATGGTGAACAACTTCAACCCCTTCTCCGGCTTCCAGGACGCCACCTACCTCCTCAAGGCAAGCCCGTGTGACATTGTAACCAGGTGACTCTTGAGTCAACACAACAGACAACTTCAACCCCTTCTCCGGCTTCCAGGACGCCACCTACCTCCTCAAGGCAAGCCCGTGTGACATTGTAACCAGGTGACTCTTGAGTGAACACAACAGACAACTTCAACCCCTTCTCTGGCTTCCAGGACGCCACCTACCTCCTCAAGGCAAGCCCGTGTGACATTGTAACCAGGTGACTCTTGAGTTTTTCAAAAGTCAACTTCAACCCCTTCTCCGGCTTCCAGGACGCCACCTACCTCCTCAAGGTCACCCCTCCAACCCACTCCCTGCCCTGCCCTGCATTGCTCTGCTGTCCCCTGTTTTTCCCTGCCTGCCCTGCCCTACCCTGCCCTGCCCTGCCCACCTCTTGTCCGCCTGGCACCTCAGCATCCCTCTCCGCTCTTGCAGCTATGCACTTTCACATCTTGTATTCTTGCGCGTCTATGCTACACATACCTGGGATATTTCCTAGCAATCACATCAAAAGAGATTTAATTAGACCAAGACGCAGGCCTGTGATGTGCAATCCGTGTGACTGCCACTGGACTGGCTTGCTCCATTGTCCAGCCCTCCTGCTGCCGCTCCAAGCCCACACCCGTGCTCTTTTCCGCCTATGCTTGTCCTCTGTATTCCCATTCCCTTCTCACAAGGCTTATTCCTTCCATGGTTTTCTCTCCTCTGCTGTTCTCCCCCCGTTCCTCTCTTTCTCTTCCCCCCTGGCCTCCGAACGGGAGCGTGCAGTCGCGAGCAGAGGGCGAGGGGTGGGAGGAGCGGGTGAGAGCGGTGCTGGCAGGAGGGCATGCGCGGGAGGAGGTGGAGACCTATGAGATCTACCTGCTACCGCCCGGGGAGGACAAGGACACGTGCCAGTCGTACCTGTGCATGCGCAACCGCGATGGGCGCTACTCGCTCATGTTTGAGGTGCGTGTTGGGAATGAGGCATGCTGAGCGGCAGGTAGGACAGAAGCACATGTTGTGTGTGTAACACGTTATTGTGTTATTGTGTCATTGTGTTAAGTGCGAATGTGTCGAGATGGCCGAGTTGGTCTAAGGCGCTGGATTAAGGTTCCAGTCCGAAAGGGCGTGGGTTCAAATCCCACTCTCGACACTTCTTGACTATATTTGTTTATGTGTTTTGAGGTTACACCACTCTCATTAAGAAGGTTGTTTTCAACCATGAAGAATGAATCACTCTTTTGTATCAGTTATCGCTTGGCGGTCCCATTCTTGTGCCCGCATCCTCCCTTCCGAAACCTCATTTTCCAAACAGTCTCTTACAGATGCCACTCCCCTAACCCTGTCCGTCACTCTTTTTATAGCCATATCACAGTGGGTGAGGATATGCCCTGCATGCTCACCCCCCCGCATCGTAGTCACCCAATGTCAGCGTCGTGTGCATATGCATACCTCGATATCTGCTTCCCCACCCGCCTAGATCCCCCACTCAGCCCACCTCCCCATCCGCTCCTTCCGTCTCTCTCCTCCTCCCTCCTTGACGATGCTAGGGTGCTCGTCTGCTGCCAGTTTCAACCCCTGACCAAGGTGACTTTTGTGTCGACTCAAAAGTCACCTCCCTGTCCGCTCCTTCCGTCTCTCTCCTCCCTCCTAGACGATGCAAGACTGCTCATCTGCTGCCAGATTCAACCCCCGACCGTTCCCCCTCCTATCCCCTGATAACGCTCCCCCACTTCATCTCTCCCCGCTCCACGTCTCACTGGCAGGAGTGGATGACGGACGGCCCCTTTATAATCACACCGTGCATCATCTTCAGCGTGCCAGTGCGGCTGCCATGGGTTCGATTTCGCTGGTATACAAACTAGCACACATTGCTCACCAAACCTTCTCTTTCGCCCTCCCCCCAACTCCCCGTCCCCCCATCCCCCCTTCTCTGGCAGGAGTGGGTGACGGACGGCCCCTTTGTAATCACACCGCGCATCACCTTCAGCGTGTCGGTGCGGCTGCTGGGGGGGCTGATGGCTCTGGGGTACGAGATAGCCCACATTGTGCACCAAACACCCCCCCCCTGCCCCTCTTCTATTCTCTCCCCCTTTCCTCCCCCCTCTCCCTCCACCCACTGGCAGGAGTGGGTGACGGACGGCCCCTTTGTAATCACACCGCGCATCACCTTCAGCGTGTCGGTGCGGCTGCTGGGGGGGCTGATGGCGCTGGGATACGAGATAGCCCACATCGTGCACCGCGAGTCCATCGTGATCAAAGAGGTGTCCCCACAGGGCGAGCAGGGGGAAGCAAACGCGGCGTTTTCAGTCAAGATTGACAAGATCGAGCAGCTCAAAGCCACCTACGTGCAGGTGGGAGGAGGGAGGAAGGGGGGGAGTGGGTAATGGAAGGGAGTGGGACGGGAAAGGGAGAGTGTGGGGCCTGATGGCGCTGGGGTACGAGATAGCCCACATCGTGCACCGCGAGTCGATCATGGTGAAAGAGCAGGGCGAGGGCAGCACCACGATTGCTCTGAAGATTGACAAGATTCAGCATTTCAAAGCTGCCTTCGTCCAGGTGGGAGGAGGGAAGAGGGGGTGGGAGAGTGGTAGGGTAGTGGTATGTGGAAGGTAGGGTGTCTGAGAGCTGATGGCGCTGGGGTATGAGATAGACCCCAATGTGCACTGCGAGTCGGTGGTTCTCGGGAGCAGTGGCCGCAGGGAGAGTAGGGCGAACAGGGCGAGGCCAGCAGCTCGTTCTCAGTCAAGATTGACAAGATCGAGCACCTCAAAGCTACCTACTTGCAGGTGGATGGGAGGATTGATGGTTTAGGGGGGGGTGGAGGGGTGGGAAGGAGGGGCAGAGCTAAGTTGTGAGGTGAGGAATGGGGTAGCGGGGAAGGGCTGGGGCTGAACTTATGATAGGCAAGGACTATCGTGCTATTCGTTGGCACGCAAGACTGATTTTTATAGGAAAGGACCGCTAGAGGGCGACACTGGGATTTCGAACCAGCTGCTTCATGTTGTGCTTGTGTGGTGTTTCGTATCCTTTTCCCGTGCAGGTGATAGGCAAGGACCGCAAGCGCGTGAAGGAGGTGGCGGAGCAGAGAGGTTCACTCTGTGCTTGTCTGTTGTGTCTGCTCGTGCGCCCATGCAGGTGATAGGCAAGGACCGCAAGCGCGTGAAGGAGGTGGCGGAGCAGCTGGGCATGGAGGGGGAGGGGGGGTACATCTCCCATCCTTATATCGAGGATATCAAGCTGCACCACCTCACGCAGGAGATTCAGAGCAATCAGGTATGTAGTGGTGGTAACAGAGCTTTATCACATATGCCATCCTTATATCGAGGATATCAAGCTGCACCAACTCACGCAGGAGATTCAGAGCAACCAGGTAATCAAGAGTGCACCAATCATCGTGCGCACCCACCATCCGTCATCCGTGCTTACTATTCTTGCATGGTTCATTCACTTTTTTAGCTCCTTGGTCACCCTTCTTTCCAACGTCCATTCTTGCCTCACCACCAACCACCACCACCTTCCCTTCTTCAAAGCATCACATTCTCGTCTTCACGTCCCGCTTTCTCCTCCCTCTCCCACTCCCCGCTCTCCGCTTTCCCATCAACCACACTCGTTGCCAGCCGTCCCCCCTCTCCTCCAGCGCCCTCAACGCCCGCCTTTGCATATTCGGCGACATGCTGCCCTTCAGCCTCAACATGGACCACAGCGCATGCATTTATGCCCGCCTCTCTCTTTCTACCTTCGCCCCTCCCCTTCCCATCCCCCCAGCCGTCCCCCCTCTCCTCCAGCGCCCTCAAGGCTCGTGTGCGCATATCCGACGACATTCTGCCCTTCAGCCTCAGCATGGGGCAGCAACCCAGTGTGCATTCACGCACTCCTCTCTCTTCCCACCATCTCTCCCCACGCTCACCCCTCCCTCCCCTCCCACCAGCCGTCCCCCTTTTCCTCCAACGCGCTCAAGGCCCGTCTGCGCATATCAGACGACATTCTGCCCTTCAGCCCGCCCGTGGGCCCGCGCTTTGCCTCGCCCACCTCCTCCTCCTCCTCTGCTGCTGCCTCCTCCTCCTGGTCTGCAGGCGGCCACAAGCTCGACAAGACGTGAGAAACAAGCAGGGGGGGGACAGAGGGAGGGAAGGAGGGAGGGAAGTAGGGAAGTGAGGGGGTAGGTAGGGCTTCAATGGTTGTGCTTGTTGTCTGTACCCTCCCTTCACCGCCTTGCTTGCCTCCTCCTCCTCCTCCTCCTCTTCCTCCTGGTCGGCCGGCGGCCACAAGCTCGACAAGACATGAGACACACAAAGGGGAGGGAGGGGGGTGAGGGGCAGGGAGGGAGGTGAGGAGATGAAACCTCAAACATAAGCTTGAAAATACAAGAAAGGCGCGGAGAGTGGGGACAAGTCCGGGTAGAAGAGGGGGCGGTTGTGGGAGTCAGGGGTGCATTTGTTGTCTATTTCTCTGCGTCGTCCTTCCTGTTCCCCTCCACTCTCTCCCTTCTCCACCACACCCCCTTCCCCACCTGCTTCCATTCTGGGTTGTTGTGGCTCTTCGTCTTGTCTCCGGTCCTTCTGCAATTCACACCGCCGCTTTCCTCTGTGCTGACATCTACCATCCTATCTCCCTGCCTTCCCTGCCCTCCTTCCCTACCCTCCTTCCCTTCCTGCCCTCCCTCCCCCCCTACCCTCCTTACCCTCCCTGCCCTCCCTACCCTCCCTCCGTCCCTGCCCTCCCTGCTCTCAGCAAGAGCCTAGCGTCCATGGGACAGGGAGACCCGTCTCCAGACAGGTGTGTGCTTTGCCACCACCGTTGCTGGGTGTCAGTGTTTGAATTGCAGACCATTGCTTGGTGTTGTTGCTGGCTTCTCGTTGTGAGTGATCAGATGTGCTGATTTGGCGCAATTTACTTTTCCTCAGTCACGCTGTTTTCCTCGTGGATCTGGCGCTCCTGGATGTGTTTGATCCAACACAGAATTCTCAGTCAACTCAGGAATCGCATTTTATCCGCTCAGGGTGTTTTGTTCTTTGCCTGCACAGGGTGTATGCATCCTCTCCATGATTGCTGTTCCGCTCACCCCACCCCCTCCCCGCCGCTCCCGTCTCCTGTCATGGCGGTTGCTCGGCTTCTCGCCTTTATTTCTCCCGTACCGTCTTTGCCCCTCCCTCTCCCCCCTCTCTCGTCCCCTACTCCCCTCTGCACGTACTCACAGCATGCCGGCACCCACAGCCGCCCTGGCGAAGGCAGAGATCAGCACCATGCGCTCTGCCTGCTCTGCCACGGCCCTGGAGCTTACCGTCTGTCCTTTGTTCCTCCTTGCCCCACTTGCACACACTCACCCACAGCATGCCAGCGCCCACAGCAGCCCTGGCGAAGGCGGAGATCAGCACCATGCGCTCTGCCTGCTCTGCCACGGCCCTGGAGCTTACTGTCGTCCCCCCCCACTCTCTCCCCTCTCCCTCTCTTGTACACATGCACTCATGCACCGACCCACAGCATGCCAGCACCCACGGCCGCGCTAGCCAAGGCGGAGATCAGCACCATGCGCTCCGCCTGCTCTGCCACGGCCCTGGAGCTGCTCAAACTGGACGCCAGAGGGGACCGTGGGGAGGTGGGGGAGGGGAACGCGGAGCAGGGTGAGGGAGGGCAGGGGAGGCGGGTGGTGGGGGCAAGCCCAGCGCGGCGTGGTGGTGGTGGGAGGGGCGCCTCTCGCAGTAATCAAGGGCGGAATGGTGAGGAGCAGCAGCAGGAGGTGCAGCAGCAGGCGCCAGTGGTGCTGTCAGCATCAGCGGTCGCACAAATGGTAAGAGGCTCTTTTGTTATGAGGTGGTGTGAAGGTTACGCTACGAAGTCATCAAGGACAGCAGGAGGGGCAGCAGCAGGCACCAGTGGTGCTGTCAGCATCAGCGGTCGCACAAATGGTAAGAGGCTCTTTTGTTATGAGGTGGTGTGAAGGTTACGCTACGAAGTCATCAAGGACAGCAGGAGGGGCAGCAGCAGGCACCAGTGGTGCTGTCAGCATCAGCGGTCGCACAAATGGTAAGAGGCTCTTTTGTTATGAGGTGGTGTGAAGGTTACGCTACGAAGTCATCAAGGACAGCAGGAGGGGCAGCAGCAGGCACCAGTGGTGCTGTCAGCATCAGCGGTCGCACAAATGGTAAGAGGCTCTTTTGTTATGAGGTGGTGTGAAGGTTACGCTACGAAGTCATCAAGGACAGCAGGAGGGGCAGCAGCAGGCACCAGTGGTGCTGTCAGCATCAGCGGTCGCACAAATGGTAAGAGGCTCTTTTGTTATGAGGTGGTGTGAAGGTTACGCTACGCAGTCATCAAGGACAGCAGGAGGGGCAGCAGCAGGCACCAGTGGTGCTGCTGTCAGCATCAGCGGTCGCACAAATGGTACGGCGCCTCACTGCAACAATGCCTCCAGGAGCCTCTTGAGTGCCTCTTGACCGCATTGCCGCTCTGTGGAGCATCGCAGCATTGCGCTGCAACATTGCAGCATGCACACTGCTGTGATCCACATTGCTCCCTCCCTCTTTCCCCTTTTTTCGTGCCCATCTTCTTTCCATGCCCACCCCACCCCACCACACCCCACCCCACCCCTTACCACCTCGTCCTCCTGTGCTGTCCGCCCTCTCCCGCTGTGCACAGCTGCAGAGCATCACCAGCTGCAGAGCATCACCAGCTGCTCTGTGATGCTCGCCAGCTCCTCGTTGCTCTGCAAATGGCTAAACGGGTTCAGGGTTTAGCATCGCCAGCCGCCTCGTTGCTCCCTCTGTGGAGGGCAATCTGGATAGCATCACAGAGCAGATGGACCAGCTTTTAAGTCGACTCACAGATCACCTCGTTCCCCCCTGTGCTGTGCTGTCCTGTGCTGTCCACATGTTCAGCTGCAGAGCAACGAGGCCGTGGAGGGCAAGCTAGTGAGCATCGCACAGCAGATGGATTTAGGGTTTTGAGTCGACTCTAAAGTCACCTCGCACCCCCTGTGCTGTGCTGTGCTCTCCACGTGTGCAGCTGCAGAGCAACGAGGCCGTTGAGGGCAAGCTAGCGAGCATCGCACAGCAGATGGACCGGCTGTTGCTGCGCTTGGAGCAGGCGGGGCAGGCAGGGCGGATGGCCGGGCAGCCACGCAGCACTGGCGGTAGCAAGCCACCTCCGTCCGCTCTTGCCAGTCGAGCAGAGGGGCATGATGGACACGTGGTTGAGGGCGGTCCACAGGGGCAGCTGGGGCAAGACGGTCAGAAGGTTCAGAAGGGTTCAAGTGGTGGTAACGCGGCGCAGAATAACGGAGTGTTTGTTCCACTGGGGCAGGATGGAGACAAGAGTGCGAGGGAGGGTGGGGGCGGAGGGAGCGGGCTACAGAGGGACGTGAGTGCAGTTGCAGAGCAACAGAGGCACATGACTCGCCAGGTGAGGGTTTTGGCTTGTGGGACGTTGCTTCATAATGAAGCGAGTCACAAGGGTGCGAGGGAGGGTGTAAGAGGAGGGAGCGGGCTGCAGAGGGATGTGAGTGCGGTGGCAGAGAAACAGAGGCACATGGCTCGCCAGGCCCCATGAAAAAGGCAACATTATCTGTAACTGAAATTTGGTACACCTTATGCTTCAACCCTCTCCTTGTTTTGTTTTCTTTCACCTCCCATGCTTTCCCATCGTTGATCTCGCCTGTGCAGATTCAGTCGCTCTGCACGCTGCTGCAAGAGGCACAGCAGCAACCATCAACGCCACCACGCACCTCATACTGGCCTGCAGCCTTCTCGTTTGCCACCCTCACCAGCACCAGCAGCAACACCAGCTACAACAGCACCATCAGCAGCAACACCAGCTACAACAGCACCACCAGCAACAGCAGTGCCAGCAGCAGCAGCACAGCCAAGGGCCAGTGGGTGGGTTCAGCTCTTGTGGCGGTGGCGGTGGGGGCAGCTTCTTTTGCCGGCACTTCTGTGCTGCTGGCTCGCAGGGCTGGCAGCTGACAGCCACTCTCCACTCCCACGTTTCTCATCTCTTGTTGGTCTTGTTGTGAGCGCAGCACAGCATCGCTTGTTGCCATGCCACACTGCACCTCCCTTGGACCAACCACATTGTCAGCAGCACAGCGGCACCAGCAGCAGCACCACCACCACCACCACCAGCACCAATAATAACAGGCGCACCGCCTAACCACCTCGAGCACCAGGGGAACCACTGGTAGCGGCAGGGGGTCTCGCACACCTCTGCTTACGGTAACCCTCTTGCCTTGGCAGTGGGGTGGGGACATGTGTATTTGCTGGTTCATCTTTATGTGGCCTCACAGAAGATACGGTACTGCGATAAGATGTATCAGGATCCATTTGATAACACTTTTTCAACAACTTCTGTATCCTAGATAGCCCGCTGAAATTATACACCCATGGCCAGCTCCATGAAGAGAGTTTTATTATAGAATGGATGGATACCTCTAGAGTATCCCTGTGGATGGTTGACAATTGTCTTACCAACAAGGCACAGGTCTGGCAAGAGATAATTCCGCACAAAGTTGTTCACATTGGATTTTGACAATTCCAATTGCATACGTACTGTACTCTGCTCCACGCCCACATCCTCACAATCACACGCCCGCATCTTCACAATCAGCGTCCTCCTAAGCCGTGGTCTCATCAGATCCATGGCTAGGACCGGTACCATATTTGTGTTGTGAACAGGTAAAAGCTGACAGGAGGAGCTTGGACGAAGCAGCACTGCTGGCGGCACTCCGTTGGAAGTGCTGCTGCGGCCATGCGCCTCTGAGAATGACATCTGGGGTGCGGCCAGGCTCATAACTGCCCCTGCCCAGAGCAGGAGACTACTGTAGACCACCCATACCACCTCCCATGCTGTCCCCAGACCCGCCCATCTTTCCCCCCATCCCTCAGCCCATCCCTCCCCCCATCCCTCAGCCCATCCCTCCCCCCATCCCTCAGCCCATCCCTCCCCCCATCCCTCCGCCCATCCCTCCCCCCATCCCTCCGCCCATCCCTCCCCCCATCCCTCCGCCCATCCCTCCCCCCATCCCTCCGCCCATCCCTCCCCCCATCCCTCCGCCCATCCCTCCCCCCATCCCTCCGCCCATCCCTCCCCCCATCCCTCCGCCCATCCCTCCCCCCATCCCTCCGCCCATCCCTCCCCCCATCCCTCCGCCCATCCCTCCCCCCATCCCTCCGCCCATCCCTCCCCCCATCCCTCCCCCCATCCCTCCACCCATCCCTCCGCCCATCCCAGGTCCACCCTGGCCGAGGGCTGCCTGCGACCCTGGAGCAAACCACCCTGACCCGCCCGTACCTCCGCCGCCCATACCTCCGCCGCCCATGCCTCCGCCGCCCATTCCGCCGCCTCCCATTCCTCCGCCGCCCATGTTCCCCCCAGGACCCATGGCTGATTGCGATCCAGGAGCAGAGGAACCAGGTCCGCCCATGCCCCCACCCGTTCCGCCTCCGCCCATGCCGCCGCCGATTCCGCCGCCACCCATTCTGCCACCGCCCATTCCGCCGCCACCCATTCCGCCGCCGCCCATGCTGCCGCCACCCATGCCGCCGCCGCCCATTCCGCCGCCGCCCATGCCTCCCCCTCCCATTCCTCCGCCGCCCATTCCACCACCGCCCATTCCGCCGCCACCCATGCCGCCGCCGCCCATTCCGCCGCCACCCATGCCTCCCCCTCCCATTCCGCCGCCGCCCATTCCTCCGCCGCCTATGCCGCCACCCATGCTTCCGCCCATGTCCCCCCCAGGACCCATGGCTGATTGTGATCCGGGAGCAGAGGAACCAGGTCCGCCTATGCCCCCTCCCATTCCGCCTCCGGTTCCTCCGCCACCCATTCCGTCGCCGCCCGTTCCGCCCTTGCCCATTCCACCGCCGCCCATCCCTCCGCCACCCATTCTGCCGCCGTCCATTCCGCCGCTGCCCATTCCATCGCCGCCCATCCCTCCGCCACCCATTCCGCCGCCGCCCGTTCCGCCGCCGCCCATTCCACCGCCGCCCATCCCTCCGCCGCCCATCCCTCCGCCACCCATCCCGCCGCCGCCCGTTCCTCCGCCGCCCATTCCACCGCCGCCCATCCCTCCGCCACCCATTCCGCCGCCGCCCATTCCGCCGCCGCCCATTCCTCCGGCGCCCATTCCTCCGCCGCTCTGTTGCTGCTGCTGTTGGCTGGTCGAGCGCCAGCCTTGCGCTGATCCGCGCATCATATTGCGCAGCTTGTCCGCGCGGAGCCCCGCGGAGAAGCGGAAGGCCATCGCCGCGTGGAGAGATGAAATAAGGACGAGCGAGAGGAGGAGAAGAGCCGTGCTCAGGTCAAGACGACGGCGCTTGCTCAACCAAAGTGAGACTCTCTGCGTCATTGCTAGTTCTGCCTACGATGCTGCTGATATTTCCACGTAGAATTGTTGTTAGCTTCTTTAGCAGCTTGGAAAGTAAAGAATTGGAAGCAGCTTCAGAATTGGAAAGCTCGTCGATAGTGAAGAGTGGATGAGTTTCCAATGTGAGACACTGAACCTTTTTGTACATTTAGTTTCGTCGCGCCGCGACGCGAATGCTATGCTCTGTGTGGTAGTTCACGCGACGCGAATGCTATGCTCTGTGTGGTAGTTCACGCGACGCGATGGCAATCTTGCATTGCAATGAACCAGCCCGAGTCAAACACATGAATATTTCCAGTCAACGCCTTTTCCAAAGTTGTTGACCACTGTAGCTTTTGTCAACAGCCGACTTTCTCCATTCCTCCTCCCAACCAACGAATTTCGAAGAAACTCTTATTCCTGATTAAAGCCGACCCGATATTCAAATTACCCTTAAAAAGCCTGGATTATTCTACACACTGAGCAAGCGTTAGCGTGAGTTTTGCTCCATTAGTATGGTTACTTCTATCATATGATCCAAACACTTGGCTGCTTCAAGAGATGACTACAGCATGTGGAAGAAAAGGCAAGGGAAGGGAAGGAAGTCAAGGAGCATCTCAATTCAAGGCAAAGCAACAGCAGACTTATAAATAGCACTATATAGGTAGATGTGTAAAGCTGTGCGTGGGCCCATCCCATCCCATCCCAGACCTGTGCACGACCATCAATCTACGGTACCAGTAAAATAAGTATTCCAGTCAGTCTGTTCAGTCGAGCTACGGCGTGTTAGAAGCGAGCCACCAGAGCATGTTCGTCTTTTGAGCACTCAGCGCGCCGATTCCACTTTTGAGGCGCCTAAAGCACAAGCTACGGCGTGTTGGAGGCGAGCCACCAGAGCATGTTCGCCTTGGAGTTGCCGTCATCAAAAGCACCCAGCGCGCCGATTCTACCCCTCGCCCCCTGGGGATCATACAGCGCCTGCAGCGCCCACGCGAACCCCCGCCACTCGTCTGTCACTCCGCTCCCGCTCAGCACGGGCTGCGCCCATTCCACCAGCTGCTGCGCGTACGCGCGGTCGGGGAAGAGGTGCGCGAGGAAGGGCGTGATTGGCAGCACCTGGATGCCCACGCGCTTGTCCAGCTCAGCAGGCGCCGCGAACCACAGCCCCGCGTCGCGCTTCGTCGACCACACCATGCCCAGCATGCGATTCGCGTCCGCGAATATTGGCTCGTACGCGGGCGACAGCGACGGCGGGGGAGACGAGGAGCTCCCCGCTACCGGCACCTGCATCAGCACCTGCGCCGCGATGGCCTCGACGGCTGCCAGCGTGGCGCCGAGCGTGGCCAATGGGAGGTCGCCGAAGGTGAACGCGAGGAGCGACGCGGCGTAGTAGGCGTTCGCGGCCTCGCTGAAGCTCTCCTGGTTGCGCCCGTCCGCGAAGTCGAACAGCCCGCTCGCCCACGAGTGCAGCTCGTACGCGTCGAAGTGGCGCAGCCTTGGGAACGCCGCGGTTCGGTTCACCGACATGTAGTCCGCCACGAGCGCCGCGAGCTGCGCGCGATACCGGTTACCCCACATCGGGTCGAATTTCGCGACGGTCGCAGCAGCGTAGACGAAGTAGCCGTAGTGGAAGTGATGGTCGTTGTACATGCCGAGCCCGAAATCCGCGCCCTTGTCGCGCGACCCGGCTTCGCTCACCACGCCGCCCCACGTGGGATCGTACAGCAGGCGGTTTCCGGGGAAGGTTCCGTCCAGCCAGGCTGTCAGCGCGGCGCGCAGCGGCGGCAGGACCGCAGCGAGGCTGCCGTCGTCGTGCACCTGCTCCGCGATCAGCGCGAGGCGCGCCGCGCGCGCCGCGGCCTTGCCAAAGAAGTATGTCGAGGCCGTGGTGAGCGGCGGCAGCGCCGCGACGTCCTGCTTCAGGCTCGCCCGTAGCGCGTCCATCAACTGCGGGTCGGACGAGAGGCTGGGAGAGTGCCACGTGGTGGGCGTCTTCGGCACTTTGAGCTCCCACACTGCGCCTTTCACGCCTATTGCCCGCCCGTCTAAGGTGGGGTATGACAGCACCGTATCTTGCGTCACCTGTCCATGCCACGATGCGGGCGACGCCGATGTTGATGCCATGGCTCCCTGGTTCGACGCTGCAGGGTCGCTTGCGCCGGATGCTGCTGCTGACGCGGGTCCCGTAACCCATGAAGCTGCATTGCCCTGAGGGAGGGACCCCGTTTCGCTGTCGCTGCTGCTGCTGCCGCTGCTGCTGTCGGAGTCCCACCCCGTCTCGCCCCACCCGCCGTCGGCGCGCGTGGAGGAGAGGCCGCCAGGCGCGGAGACGCGGATGGCGGGCGCGCTATTGTCGAAAGGGGAGACGCTGCGGTGACGGCGGAGGGCGGAGGCCGGGGTGGGGTTGTGCGCGAACACTCGCAGGCGCCGGTGCACTGCGCATGAGGGACAAGGGGGGTAGCCACGCTTATTGTTTGTTGTTGCATTGCATCATGTGAAAAAGATATGTCTAGCTTGAATGGACAGGCGATGAGGGTGATGGGTGTTGACAGGGACTCTTGTTACGTTCGAAACAACAGCATGGCGACGCTTGTGATGGCATTCCAGATCAAAAGCGGCACAAGTGGGCAGCTTTTGAGGCGCCTCATGAATCGCGGTACAGGTGGCAGCACACACGGCAGTACACGTGGCACACCGCAACTGACCTGGCAGAGACAGCATGAGCAGCGGCGTTTTGGTGCCGCCGGGAGCCAGCTTGCGCCACTGCTGCGTACGCCAGCTTAACTTGATGCGGAACGCGCCCACCCGCGCGCGTCCGCCCACCGGCACCGTCGCCACGTGCGCGTCCAGCAGCGCCTCCTCGCGCTGCGGGGAGTTGCCCGGCAGCAGCGCCACGCGCATGGTCCCCGTGAACGGCGCGCCCGCCACAATCGACGATCCGTCCTGCCGCAGCGCCAGCGGCGACGATAGGTACACCAGCCATGTCTGCCAGCCGGGGAGGAGGGGCGGTACGTGGCGGAATGCGGTTAATGCGGGGTTGGCTTGGGTTCAGAGGATTGCATGGGTGTTGGAAGTAAGCGGATGGATGGACAGCAGGGACGATGGATGGGCGAAAAACAAACGAAATGGGATACGGCCAGATTGGGGTCACAACCGGGGGAGGGGGAGGGGGGGGGAGGGGAAACGCCAGTGGCGGCGCGGCAGAGACGCGCAGAGCGGCGCACAACAAGGGCGGTGACCTCACCTGGCCGTTGTTGAGCGCGACGCGGTACTTGCTGTCGCCGCGCGCCTCTACGCTCAGAATCGCGTGGATCGTCTTGAGCACGGGCGTCGCGGGGGGGCCGCCCTGGGGGAATATGAAAGTCAAATAGGGGGACCCGCGCACCAGCGGAACCACGAGCGCGGGGGGCGCGGAAGGCGCGGAGGAGGGCTGGCGGAAGGAGAGGGTAACGGAGAGATCGTCGTAGGCGGAAACCTGGTGCGGCGGAAGGCCTTGCAGCGTGGAGAGCATGAGGTTGGTGATGAAGGCTTGGATGATGTATGCCGGCTGCGCGTTGCGCGCCGGTATCCCCCACGCGACGCGCCCGTCGCCGCTCTGGACCACGTACGGGCTCACGAGCTCCGGGCTGCCGCCCTGCCCCAGCACGAAGTTTTGCCACGGCGCGTTCGTCGGGTACGGCGCCTGGGGAAGTGGTGGAAGGGGAAAGAAAGGGAAAAAGTGGGGATTTCGGCAGATTAGTGTCTGTTTTTGAGTCGACTAAAAAACGAGCCCTGCCCCAACACGAAGTTTTGCCACGGCTCTTTTGTCGGGTACGGCGCGTGGGGGAAGGGCAAAAGTGGGGGTTTCGGCAGATTATAGTTGGGACGAATAACATTAGCGCGGGGTTAGTTGGGACGAGGTAAGGGGGAAGGGGACAGATGATGCGATGAGACGCATAAAGTGCGGGCAGCCTCGGCGTGTGAGCGGGAAGTGCAGGCGCGGAGATCGCGCGTTGATGGGAAAAGCAGCGCAAGTGCGCTGACGGGGGAAGGCTTGGGGGACTCACGGAGAGCTTGGCGGACCAGAGGGCGGAAGGCGGGAGAGCTACAGTGGAGGAGAGCGAGGGGAAGGCCGTCGACGCCATGGCCAGCGCGGGGATAAGAAGCGAAGCGATTGCAGCGGGGAGAGCGAGGCCAGGCGGCAATCTGCGCGCCTGACGGCGGTAAGGATTCTACGGCGAGGTTCCGTTTCGACTGCGTGGCTCTGCGATTCACAGCGATTTCTTGCTGCGGATAGAATAATCGATGTTTTGGCAGTGCAAGCGGTACAAAGGATCTAGGATCGAGGAAGCTATATAAAGGCCTCGGGAGGTGCATGCGAGCCGTTGTGATATGTGACTTCGTACGATGGCGGATAGCGGACTCGATGCGGTGCAGGTCGTACATGCCCTCAACGTACCATGCAGCCCGCGACAGGCGATAAAATCTGACACGAGTCGGCTACACCTTTGCGCGACAGTTGCGAGTTATTTGATTGAAGTCCAGCTGACAATGTTCGAATTATTCTTTCAAACTACCGGTAGATGCATATGCATCACTGCACTGGTCGGTGTGGCTGTTTTCTACCTCTCCAGATTGATGTGGCAGTGCGGCAGCCATGGTTGGTTGAAGCCATCATCTCTCGCAGCCGATGATGATGTGCGTGGTTGGGTTGTGGGATGGGAGGGAGGGGCAGGGCAGCACGCAATACAGCAAAAGCAGCGAACCTACCATTTCTCACCACATCCCGCGCGACGCACCCATCTCGAGAGTCTCTCGTCTCGACATCATCGGGGCGCAATCTCCCTTTTGTTACCGTGTCGCGCTGTCGCCCATCGACGATCTGCGACGAAGGCTGCGGGTGGGATGCCTACTGGATTTCAGAAAAAGACCACGAAATGACGAAACATATGTTACCAGTTGCCTGGAAAGGCACGCCCGCTGTTCCTGGAGGTTCAGTGGACGTGAGCGAAATTGTGACGGTCGGTCCAACACGTCGGTGATCAGCCGTCGCTGACAGATGGCATGTGATGGCTATGTTGACCGACCCTGACTCACCTCCCTGTAGTTGCGCCTGTCGCACCAGCCAAATGCATACGCACTGCGAGCAACCCGTTCTTGTTATTTGCAAACTTGTATTGCTATTTTGATAGGATTAGTGGACTTGAACACTAAATATATCATAAAGTTGAATGCTCATGTGCACACATCCATGTACATATTAGGCGTGTGGTTCGGGCACACAAATGGTAAAGGATGGGTGAAGGATGCAAGGTGGTAACGGGACGAACGGCCGCGAGCTGGATGAACAGTAGATTCCTTCAACCAACATTAACAGGCCTATTGCGTCAATCAATCAGTGCCTAACCTAATGTACTGTAGAACATCTGTTAGTTAGTGAGGTAACGAATCTATGTACACTATCAGTACGTGGACAAAAGCTACCAGCACTTCTCGCCCCAAGCGATATCCATTTGTACCCCCTAGCTGGCATGGACACATTCAGAACCACGCAGTTTCCGTTTTCTTCACGAAAAAGACTCACCCTTGCGATGTATCAATCAATGGTTGCGATATACACCTTCACCGAATTCCTCGTCGCATAGCTCTGAGATTCCTTTGCACATGTAGTCGCGCTGAATGCCGCACGCCTCGCTCTCATCAAAGTGGTCGAAGAACCCCGCCCCTGACGTCAGCCAGCACGGATTCAAATCCCCCGGCTTGGCCGTGATTTGCCTGATGGGATGGCGGGCAATAGAAAGGGGAGAAATGAAGCATTTACGAGCTTCCCCGACGCTTGTCTTTGGGGAGCGATGGAAGCTAGTCGGTGGTCCTCCAGGGTGATGGAAGCAGCTGTTGGAACAAACAACCAACCCCAAGGCAAGCACAAGAGAAATGAATATTCGGCTTAACATCCATCAAAACATGCTGACACGTTTCTCAGCCTTGCTGTTTACAGAGGTGTGAGGGTGGATCCACAGGGAATATTGTTCATGTGTGCAGACGAAGGGCACATGGGTCTCACCACTCCTGGTCCTCCATCATGCTCTCTGTCATCCCAAACGCCCTCAGCTCCTCCCGGCTGTGGTGCACGCGGCTGTGGTGCACGCGGCTGTGGTGCACGCGGCTGTGGTGCATGCGGCTGTGGTGCATGCGGCTGTGGTGCATGCAGGCAATACTGCTACGTGGTGTGACAAAGGCAGCATGGGTCTCACCACTCCTGGTCATCGATCATGCTCTCTGTCATCCCAAAGGCTCTCAGCTCCTCCCGGCTATGGTGCACGCGCAAGCTGTACCTGAAAGGGGGTGGGGACGGACGAGCGAGGGGTTGGGCACAGGGGAGAGGAGCGGGACAGGGAAAGAGAAGGGGATAGGAGAGAAGGAAAAGAGTGGCGAAGAGCTGCTAGCAGCATGCTCCGTTGTGATGCAAGCTATGCGTGTGAAAGCTAAAAACAAACAAACAAACACAGATGGCGAGAGGGAATAAGCTGAAACGAATTCGAGACACCGGGATAGGTGGCATTGTCAAGTAGATAGAGGAAAAAGACAAAGAAATAGGGTGAATGCAGGGAGGGAAAGGGGAGGGGAAACGCATGGCAGGGACAGGAAGGGAGTGGGTTTACTAAGGAAAAAAGTGACGTGAATGAGTGTTGAGTGTATGCATGTCACACTCGCTACGGTTCTTGTGCATTCTTCTCTGTCTGACTCGCATCTCATTGAACATACAAGTGCTAAACCTCTGAAGCTGAACATACCCGCCGCCTGGCCCCAGCTGCATGATCATGCAGGCAGCATTAGGAAAGTTGTAGAGCCCTTCGAATCGCTCGACGTGCCGCACCCAGCGCACAGCCACTGAAAGACAAGCAGCTTCAGAGCACTCAACACTCAACGTACCTGCCACCCAGCCCCAGTTGCATGATCATGCAGGCAGCATTAGTAAAGTTGTAGAGCCCCTCGAATCGAACTGCTCGACCGTCCACTTGTACCAACGCATGAGGAAGTTGAGGAGCGCTTACACTGCTCCACCATCCATTCATACCAGCGCACCCAAAACACATGCATTTACCAGCACGTACAACCTGCCGTAACGTACCTGCCGCCCGGCCCCAGCTGCATGACCATGCAGCCGGCGTTGGGGAAGTTGTAGAGCCCTTCGAACTGCTCCACCGTCCACTTGTACCATCGCATGAGGAAGATGCGCAGGGTGAGCCCGTGCACTGCTGCACTGCTGCAGGGTCCATTCATATCAGCGCACACAGCATGCCGCCACTCAACACTCAACATACCTGCCGCCCTGGCCGAGTTGCATGATCATGCAGCCAGCATTGGGGAAGTTGTAGAGCCCTTCGAACTGCTCCACGGTCCACTTGTACCATCGCATAAGGAAGACCCGCAGGGTGAGTCCGTGTGACACCAGCACCAGGTTCATGTTGCGCGCCGCCGCCTCCTCCCTCTGAAACCGCCCCACGTCTATGTCCGCTCTTAGTGTCTCCCGGAAACCTGGCGAGGCGGGATGTGGAAGAGAGGGATGAGGGGAGAGGGGGATGGGGAAGAGGGGGATTGGTTGGGGGGATGGGGAAAGGAGGGGAGGGGCTTGTGAGCCTCGGAAGAGGCTGAAGAGTAGAGCCTGGGAGGGGAGTCAGGCAGTGGTGCATGGGGTTCCCACGGCATAAGGAAGACCCGCAGGGTGAGTCCGTGTGACACCAGCACCAGGTTCATGTTGCGCGCCGCCGCCTCCTCCCTCTGAAACCGCCCCACGTCTATGTCCGCTCTTAGTGTCTCCCGGAAACCTGGCTTGCGGGGATTGGGGGCGAGAGGGGGAATGGAAAGGGGGGGGATGGGGGGATGTGGGGATGCGGGGGAGGAGTGGGGAAAGGGGACACGAACGGAGTGTACGCACGAGGAACAGCCTGGGAGTCAGCCCGTGCTGCAGAAGCACCAGTTTTACGTTGCATGTTGCATGTTGCATGTTGCTACCAGATTTCCCGTAGTCTCTAAACTCTCGCACGCCATTGTGGAAGTTTACCACACAGGCGACGCGCGTATGAAAGCTGCATTGTTGCACGAACATTTGTCGCTGAGAACAAAACTAAACCTTCACTTACTACAAGCACTAGAGGAGTGGTACAAGCGCGCGCTACACGGGCATCGATCACAGGACTATGCGGCTGTTGTCAGCAGTCATGTCAGCAGCATAGTCGTGAACACGTGTATGAGACGTCTCAAAACCCTTCTTCATACACGCGGCTGTTGTCACCAGTCATGTCAGCATCATAGTTGTGAACTCCAGAGGTCAGCTCCAACTTTACCCATCTTACCGCAAATGCATCGCCGCCTTACTTGGACCTTTCACACAATTACCTACTCCCGACAAGATCGCTACCAATGACAATTGCAAATTGGCCTTCTGCTCCCCACGGTGCTACTCGAAGCGCACCTGTGACGCGGCCGCACCTGTGGTATGGTCGCACCTGTGTGCCTCACTGTGCTCCTTACACTAGCTCCTCCTCCCCCTCACTCTCACTGTGCTCCTTACACTAGCACCTCCTCCCCCTCACTCTCACTGTGCTCCTTACACTAGCACCTCCTCCCCCTCACTCTCACTGTGCTCCTTACACTAGCACCTCCTCCCCCTCACTCTCACTGTGCTCCTTACACTAGCACCTCCTCCCCCTCACTCTCACTGTGCTCCTTACACTAGCACCTCCTCCCCCTCACTCTCACTGTGCTCCTTACACTAGCACCTCCTCCCCCTCACTCTCACTGTGCTCCTTACACTAGCACCTCCTCCCCCTCACTCTCACGGTGCTCCTCACATCGCACCTCCTCCCCCTCACTCTCACTGTCACCTCCTCCCCCTCACTCTCACTGTGCTCCTCCCACCGCACCTGTGACGCGGTCGTAGACGTCAGCAGCGGACTCGCCATCGGGGAAGCGGTAGAAGAAGCGCCCGTAGCTCAGCCGCACCTTCTTCTCCCTCCTCATCTTCTCCCTGTCCTGGAAATTGCCTGCACACAGGCAAACCAGTGTGCGTTGGGGGAAAATATGAGTGATGCATGCAGGATGCGGAGAAGTAGGGGACGCGAGGGAAGGCGGGAAAGAGAGT